CGAATTTTCCCTCCTTTTTGCCATTTTTCAAATGTCTTTTAATCTATTCGACTCTCGGCGACAAATGGCCACGGAGAGCTTTAGTGAAGATATACATCATTTTACTTGTTAAATCCATTAGATTTCGTGGTCCGATTGACCAAATAACTTCTTTCAATTAATTATTCGTTATGTAAGGTATTGGTTGAAATAAAGAGGTATTGGTTGAGTGGATCGAAGTCACGATAGCTCAAGTGGTAGAGCAGCGGCATATTTAACCGAAGGTCGTGGGTTCGAATCCCGCTCGTGACCCTGGCTTTTTTATTTCAACCAATAACTTACATAACGATTAATTAATTGAAAGAAGTTATTTGGTCAATCGGACAACGAAATCTAATGGATTTAATAAAGTTTTTGGCTATTCTGTTCTATCTTCTTTTACTATTTATGCTTTTTTTAATCAGACTGTACGATCTTTCAAAAACACTAAATTATGATTATTTTTATGTCATAATTTAAATAAAATTCAACTATAATTCTGATGAAATATGAACAGAATTTAGGTCCGCCTTTCGCCCTTTACTGTTCTGTGGCCTTATTTACGCTGTAAACGACAAAGCAAAATTTGAATCGATTTGATTCATCTTTCTATTTCTCCCTCAGCATCCTGTTTGCTCACAATTCACATTACATAAGCTTAAGTTAAACAAAGTTACTTTATAAAGTTGCCATAAAACAATATTTTTGTACAAGATATCAGTTTAGGGTTTATCAAGAATGAAAAGTTTGTCGTTGTTTCTTCAACTGAGAGTGAATCTTGTTTGGATGATCCCCACTAAGATTATCCGCCTTCTCTCGATTTGTTGACTCGAGGAGAAAAAAAAATTATAAAATTATAGAAGTGGTTCTAAAACTCCTTTCCTACAGTACTTAACACACTGTTTATAAACGTGAAAACATCTAATATGAAAATTGGACAAATCTCAAATAAACAAATACGTATTTAGTATTTGTACATAGCAGAGAGTGGTACATAAACAATTGAGTTAGGAAAACAACCTTTATGTAATTTTTTTCGTGTTGACAAATTAGACCGAAAAATATTGTTTTATGCACACCCGTTGATTTTCCTTTATGTTATTTTTTTCGGGCCAAAATATGCGGAAATTGAGTTTTATTTATAAAAACCATAACTTATTTTCGGAGGCTTGTCGGACGTGCATGAAAAAACAAGGGCAAAACTACCCCCTTTACGATGCAACCCGCAGAGCGAAAGGCAGATTCGATTGGGCTTCGGGATAATGGACAAGAGATCAATTTGTTGTACACGGATTGTGCTTTTCATTACAATGTTCGAACCTGCAATCACACAAATCCGACCTAGTCAACGACACACCAAACAAAAAATCCAACTCGATAAACCCCTAAAGGAGTAAAATACTTGACAGATGATTGGGAGATCGGTGTATATTACAAGCAGTCAATAAGAAAATATTAACAATTTTTTAAGTCAGATTAACACTGATTTCTCCTTTCTGTATGACAACTGAAAATTATTTATAACTTCTCTTTTTTAGGTATGTATAGTCTAAAAAATTCCCACATATTTACTCAGCATTCGAATTGATTTTTTTCTTTTTTAAGATTTTTTTTAAAAGATTATTTTTAAAGTAAACACTGTCATTAAAACTACAATTCCTATTTACGCGGATAAAGACGAAAACTTGTTACTGTAAAACTTTAATCTTTATTTTTATCTGCTGAGAATTATGCACTTTTTTTTGGTTTGGCCTAATTTTTCCTTCTATGTTTGTATTTGAAATTGGTTTATAAATATTTGCAACGGAGGCGATCGGTAAAGGTTTATTAAATTGCCTCTCTTTTTGAACCGAGATAAAATTTATTCTGTTGTTTTGTTTATCCGAGGCGTGTTTTTGCCTCAACAAAAAAAATATTGTAATAATAAATGTCTGTTCATTTTACACTGATTGTCGTAAAGCAAAGTTAATTTTTCATGAAAAGAGGTCTTGTTTTGAAAATGGTAAACAAACAAACGCCGTGACGCTATAATCTCTATTGAGTTTTAATACTTAATATGTTTAATACTTAAAATGTTATAAAATATAAAATAAATAGCTTCATTAAAACATTAGACTTTTATTCCAAATCCAGTAAATTGCAAATAGCGACATAACTGTAGATCTTCAAGCCATGTAGTAAAAAATAAGTCTATAGTAAAATCAGAGAAACCACAAAATAAATAATCCAGAGGATAGAGAAAACGAGAGAGAGAGAGAGAGAGAGAGAGAGAGAGAGAGAGAGAGAGGGTGTGAGAGAGAGATGAAGAATAAAGGTAGGAATAATGTGAGAGAGGGAATTCTTTAAGAAAAAAATAGTGAAAAGGAAGGGAGTAATTTTAAACATCATACAAGAGACAGGAAGAGATAGAAAGAAGGAAAGAGAGAGAGAGAGAGAGAGAGAGAGAGAGAGAGAGAGAGATTGTGCGTGTGTGAGAAAGTGAGTGAGATAGATAGATAGATAGAGAGAGAGAGAGAGAGAGAGAGAGAGAGATCGTTAGATATAGAATGTGAAAGATTAGAAGACAGGGAGGAGAGAGAAGGGGTGTGTGAGAGGGAGAGGGAGAGAGGCAAACGGAAAGATACAGAGGGAAAGAGAGAGATAGAGAAAGAGATAAAGAGAGAAGGAGAGACAGACTGACAGACCGACAAAGAGAGAGAATAGAGAGATAGATATACACAGTGAAAGAAAGAGAGATAAACCAAGGCCGATAGATAGATAGATTAGGGTGTGCGAGATTGAGGGAAAGAGAGAAAGGGAAGGGAATTCTCATTTTCAACTACTTGTAAATTTTGTGCAAAGCTATGGTGAGGGCATACTTTTAAAATTTATTTAGATAAAAAATAAAAGAAGAAATAAAAAGATAAAATTATAAATTTTATAATTTATTTAGATTATAAAATTTAAAAAAAAATGATTTAATGCGTGAGCATTGTTCGTCTACTATTAATTTTGGAATAACAATTGTAAATGCATAAATAAAATGAAAAGAATAAACTGATTTAATCTCGTGGGCATTTTTCGACTAATTTTAATTTTTATGCAAAACGATCGTGAATGCAAATGTTAGTTATGTATTTTTTTAGGAAGGGATTAACATTCCAAAAGTTGAAAATTGGATAATAAAACAAACGCTTTATATTTGTCACAAACAACAAAAATCCATTATTTGGTAAGTTTAGCCGAGGGTCCACTTTTTGTTTATTTAGAATTGTATTAAAGTAGAATAAAAAGTTTGATTTTCAGATTTAACCGAATCTGACAATTAACACTTTTATGTGAGTGTGATCTGTCCGCAACTTGCCTCTCATTGATAATCCTGATCCCTGTCATGCTGATTTTTCCATTAAAAGATTCGTTACTTGTCTTAATATATTAAATTGCATGCTACCATTCGAAAACGTTAAAACTTTCTTGTGTGGTAACCCTTCCCTAACCCAAAAAATAAGTACTGAATTGTTTTCAATTTACCAAGTTTTGTACTTTCTCATTTGGTCGGTTGGACAAGTATTTTCACAGTCATAAATTTCTTTGTTTTATTTTTGACGTTTCGAGCTCATTATACGGAGAAAAAATATAAATATCCTGAAATAACAAATACAAGTAAATATTTTCAAAAGTTAGCATCAATGTTTTTAAACATTTAAAACGCATACTTTTAATATATCGATTTAAAAACAAAGTCAAATGACAATTTGAAAATAAGTGCTGGAATAAAGCTTTTACTATTTATATATTTAATCATTATCGCCATAAATGAAATAAATTTAGGATTTTTTAAAGTTCGTTTTACACAAAAATATTATTAACTTTTATTTTAAGTCGATTTTCTGTTTGTAAACTATTTTCCTTAAGGACTATTAGATTTTTTGTCTTTCATAAAGTTGTTGGTTATTGGCTCTGCTAACCCCCAACTTTATCAGGTTGTATGATCCTTTTGCTTTATTTATATTCGATTTTGAGCAGGGGGAAATATTAAAACGCATCACACAATCGCCTGGTACAGTGTGTAATGAAAAACAATATATTGCCCCGAGCCCGATGCTTACGCGTTGCCATCAATCAACCTGGTGACACGACTCCAACGAATAGATGGATGTTTAAAACAGAGTTCAACTTTAGAATGAACCCAGAGAGAAAAAAAAATCTATACAAGTCGAGAATAATTTAGGAGTAATGAAAACAAAAGCATAATTGACGGTAATTTCAGGTTATCAATTGACCTTTTGTACTGGTTTTAGACTGCAATCTTAATCGTTATCTTTGATTATTGTCCATATGTAACAGGCGAACAATATTGATCTGGATGGATAAAATTAGGAAAAATATTTGCAACATCTAGTCTGACATTGTTTACATTAATTTTTTTAAAAATATATTTCGGGCAATATTATAAATTATATATTAATAACAAATTTTGCTATAAATGTAAGATTATAATTTTGTACTTTAACTTTTTCCTAATACGGCCGTGGAAAAAACACGTCTAGCTGTCTGCAAAATATAATATTTATAACATTTTAGTGCTTATGTTGTATTTAAAATATAAAAATTTTAGTCCTATACTTAGTTCAAGCATGAATAATTTTCGGATGCCTTGTATGAGTAAAGGTCAAAATTTCAAGTTTTTTCCGGTCCACGTTGAAAAAGGACCACCCGAACGGCTCAACTAACGATTGTTGTGATGAATATCTGTAAAAACTTATCTGTATAAAAATAAATTAATATAAAAATATCTGTAAAAAAATATTCTGTAAAAACCAAACCGAGAATTATAAATTAAATAAATATTCATTTAATTATTTTACAGTGTATGTACAATTTTTTGTTACGTGCGAGGGTCAGCAATATTTAAAATAATTTTTAGATGATAGTACACTAAGTGCAATTAAAATTTTTATTTTCAAAACAGACATAATAAATATTGTTGTTTCAATTCTTACGTGAGAGGGTGCTGAAGGTGTCCAAAGAATGGCAAACCATGAATATTTAAATCGGCAAAAAAAAAAAAAATATATAAAAAATCGCGCGTACGTAATCCTGACACGATAACTCCAGCAACAGGGATCACCTCACTCCACGAGCATCGGCGAGCGACTAAGCTCCTTTTGAACAAGGTGGCGAAGGGGGATTCTGCAGGAAAAAGGGCGATGCTGGCGCTCGTCGTTAATCCTGCCTTTTCGCCTTTTGAAACATTAACAATATTATTCCAACTCGCTTATTTCAACGTTGGAGCTTAATAATAAATTATTGAAATACGTCTAACTTCTTTGCACTATTGGTCAATAATAAACATGTTCGACCTTGTCTGATCATCATGATCCGCGTATTCTTAAACGATCAAACTGAATCAACAAAGTACCACACAAAAATCAATATATCATTATTTGTCGTAAGATTGAACTTGCCATAGTTCAGAAATATTTTTCAAAAATTTATTCAATTTTAGTGATGTCAAGTCGTCAATCTAGTCCTTAAATCACCAAACCGGTTGTTCAACATACTGAAATGGGGATGAAAATGATGACAAATCCTGCCATAAATAATCGTCTAGTATTATTTTGACTAGTGTGGTGGGTTTTAACAATTGATTGATAGGGTCACTTTAATAAATAAAAAAACATACTTAAAAAAATTAAAAACGATAAAATTAATATTCTGTTGAAATAATTGTCCGCTTTGACAGACTTAAGATCCTAAATGCGCCTTGCTAAGTGCAAACTGCAAGAATGACGTCGAAAATGCCGAGAACTGTTCATTTCGACGTCAAGAGTTATTATTTTTATTTTTGATAACTATCTGGAGTGTTAAGAAATACCAGATTACCACAGATAAAAATCAGTCAGAATGGTTACTGTGGTAAGTTTGTTTAGGAATAAATTTAAAAGTTTCTTTATGTAATTTTTTTGTGGAATTTGCCCACATTTTTTAGTTCATCTAAGCAATCTATCCCTTTTACATAAAATGCTGAAGAAAGCTCTCGCAAAGTTTTCAATGATGTCGAGATCTGGTGAACTGGTAGGCCAGGGTAAAACCAAAATTCACCAATGCACAAATTAATTTATAAAAACTCGACCTATACGGTCGTCAACTTCTGTTTCCTTCGCCAAAGCCAGAATTAATTTATGATAACTGGACCTAAACAGCCGTCAGCTTATCTTTTCTTCACCAATGCACAAATTAATTTATAAAAACTCGACCTATACGGTCGTCAACTTCTGTTTCCTGCGCCAAAGCCAGAATTAATTTATGATAACTGGACCTAAACAGCGCTCAGCTTATCTCTTCTTCACCAATGCATAAATTAATTTATAATAACTCGAACTATACGGTCGTCAGCTTCTGTTCGCCAAAACCAAAATTAATTTATGATAACTGGACCTAATCGGCCGTCAGCTTCGTCTCCTTCGCCAAAGCCAAAATTAATGTATGATACTCAATCTAAAAAGCCATTAGCTTTGTCTCCTTCGCCAAAGTCAAAATTAATTTATGATATCTCAATCTAAAAAGCCATTAGCTTTTCTCTTTTTCACCAATGCACAAATTAATTTATAAAAACTCGACCTATACGGTCGTCAGCTTCTGTCTCATTCCCCAAAGCCAGAATTAATTTATGATAACTGGACCTAAACAGCCGTCAGCTTTTCTCTTCTTCACCAATGACCAATTTAATTAATGATAACTAAATCTGAAAAGACGTCAGTTTTAATTTTCTTCACAAATTCCCAAATTAATTTATGACCCGCCTATTTTTGTTGGATTCTGTCAGGATTTTAAACGATAAGACTTGGCGGCTGCTGGTCGGCCGACGGTGTCGACCCGCCCCTTCATCATCACCGATCGCGTCGCTGTCCATCGCTCGCCATGGAACCAGCCGCTGTCCAGGAGAAAAATCTGACGAATTTGTCCTTGTGCAGACTCTGCGGCGAAGAGAATTTGAACGGAGTCGATTTGAACAGCAAAGACAACGAGGGGAGGAGTCTGTGCAATTTAATTAATGAACATTTGCCGGTTAAGGTGAGAGCCAGTTTCATTTTTAACTTTCATTTAACATTTTGCTTATTTCGGTCTTTTGTTCTCAGTCATTAAGTTTTGTCATTTTAAAAAACAACAAACAAAAGAAATCCTTTGTTTATATTTCGGAGCAACCTGTTCCAATCGCCTGTTGAGCAAACAGTTTATATGTGAGGTTATTTTATAGTTTACACTCCACTATATATTAAAAAACTTCAATTCTATTTCAAATAAACTAAGTAATAATGCGTTCTGTTATTGAATTGTCAAATGCCCTTCTGGTGCTTCTCATTCTGGTAACATTATCGTTGTCACTTATAATTAACTTAACGAGAAATCAGTTTTTTGATGTTTTTAACTTCTATTGTTAGTTTGTTCATATATCTTATTATATATTATAGATGCAGTTTTTTTATTGTAAGAATTGTTAAATCCGATTTTTAGATGTATTCAGAAAATTGTGGTTTTGGATATCGTTCATCTTGTAGTCTATTTTTTAACAGCATAGTTTTGATGTTTACTTTCCATTAAACTATTATTTTTCTGTTATGTAGAATTATGAGTTCAGGATGTAGAGTTTGTTAGATGGTAAGGCTCTTTCTGAAGTTTAGTTTAGTTGATTTCACTGAGTTGCCTAAATAAGTGCCGTGTGAGGCTTTTCTTGGCTGGTTTTTCACACCATGTAGCTTGTGGAATCAACTTCTCTTCCCAATGGGAATTCAGTACGATGTTACAACCCGAGGATACAGGATCACTTCTAGCAAGAAGAGAGAAAAAAAAGGAGAAAACCCAGTCGAAGATAAGTGTGGGCTATCCATTGTTATAAAGTCAGGCAATTTCTACTACTTCCACACCACTTCCTCTAAGCTTCACAACTTTTAATTTTATTGTTATACTCTTCACACTTCATGTCCCATATTGTGGGAAGTCTTTCTTTAAGAATTTCGAACTTGCAATGGCAAAGCTTTCTAGGTTGAGCACATCTGACACAACTGTGAAGAGTGATGGACGAATATCGAGTTGTGTCTTTTGTTATTCAGAAATCGTGAGTTGCGGTCTGGTGTGATGTAGGTTTCAGAAAAACATTTTCTTTATCGTGCCAACGTTTCGATCTTTATTGAGATCATCTTCAGGGCTCAACGTGTTTGTCTTCTGTGTAATTGCCATTCTTGCATGTCACACATTGAACTCACTGAATTCACTGATTGAATCAACTAATCACTTTAAACACATTGAAAGAGGGCTATTGTTTCATTTAAGTTGTCACACATTCAGGTGTAGTTTTATTCTGTCCTTGACCAGTTTTAACCATATATACAATCGAAAATGATTGTTAGGTGTTCCTGGTAAAGCTATTCCAGGTGCATGATGAGAGAAGGTTGATTGTGTTCCAGCCCACCCATACGCCACCTCAGCAAAGCACTACCACTATAAGATAGTAAAGTTTGTAACTAAAGTTACATTAGAAAATAGGGGACTGCGGTGGCTGAGTCGTTGGTTGTCCAACTCATATTTGCCATGCTAGCGTTCCTGGGTTCAAATCCTGGCACAGCCCATGGCTTTTTAATTGAGAATAGTATGAAAGAAGTATTGTAAAGTGGTTTGATCCCTTGTCCACAACACCCAACCTGTAGTTGGAAGTTAAGCCTTCCTGTATAACAGGAATTACTTTACTTAATATTAGAAAGTAGATTTAAATAATTTGAGAAAAACGTTAAACTGTGAAATTTCTCTGTGTGGTCTACAGGGTTCATACTTGTAGTTTGGTCATTTTGGTATTCCTATTCTTACTGGTTTGGCTGTTTGCCATCTGACTTCAAACAGACCCAGCAGTGAAAATGACAAAAAGTCAAAATAATCATAACGAGGATAAGCAGATTGAGATGATCAGTCAGGATCAAGTAATTGGTTCATCACCTTGCATACCACTGGAAGAACTCTCACAGACTCAGCCAGCCATCAAACAGCTTATGAATTATATTTTGTTTGCTAATTTAGAAAACGATTATTTTGTGTATCGCCCCTCTATAGCTAGTCATTCATGTCATAAATGTAAAGTAAAAGAACATTTGAATGACATGGATCAAACCAACTTTGCAATACTTTTTCATACTTCTCTCAATTAAAATTTCACAGGCTATACCAAGATTCAAACGCAGAATCGCTATCATTGCAAATATGAATCAGACTTCCTAGCCAGTGGTCCCTGATTTTTCATTCATTGTATTTGCTTCCATAATACAGGTCCTAAAATTATTATGAGTGCTAATTCTTTTTTTTTTCTTTTGTTTAGGTTGATAGTGATGAAAGACTGCCACAGTCAATATGCACTGGCTGCCTTTCGCAGGTTCAGTCAATCGTTGAATTTTATGACCTGTTACAGGCGGGCCAGAAAAAAATCAAAGAATTATTTGCAAAGGAGGTAGAGTTTATTTTATTTTTATAAGTTAATCTCTATTTTTTTTTAAATTATTAATTGAATTGAATTTCCCATTTAGGACGAGAATTCTGCAAAAATAAGTAAGTACAATACATTTTGATTATAAAACACCCAAAAAGTATTTCTTTTTAAAATTATGAATGAAAATACAGATAATGCAGCACCAAAGAGAAATCGTGGCCGTCCTAGGAAAGTTGTTTGTCCTCCGCAAGCACCTGCAGATGGTGCTCAAAACGGCAAAGACACTTCTGTGAATGTTCCTATCGAGGAAGTTAGTAAAATAGAAAATCCATTGGGAAAGAGAACACGAAAAACCCCTGTTAGGTAAAAAATATATTATATATATTAATTTTTATATATTTGTAATATAATATGTTGTTCTTGAATAGGTACCAAGGTGCAGTGCACACAAAAGATCTTGAAAGGATCCTCATGGAAACTGAGGAAAATAAAACAAGTGCAGAAAGAACTTGTAAAATTATTTTTGTACATTTTGATTTTAATCTCTTATTAATGTTTTATAATGTGCGTTACATTTTTATGTTCATAATTAGCTGAAGATAAAGAAGTAATAGGACGAGTTGAAAGTTTAGAGGGTACTGATTTGGGAGAAGTAGCCATTCTCAGTAAAAATAAAAGGCCTTCTTTGAGATATCTGATAGAATTCAAATGTGAAGCCTGTGGCGAATTGTTTCGCCATGAGAACAAGTTCTTGGCTCATCAGGCTTCCCACAAAACCACAGAATACACTGTCTGCTCAGTTTGCAACGAAAAGTTTACATCAACGACAGATCTCCAAACTCACCAGGAGATCACAAAGCACGAAGGTTATGAGTCGAAGACTGAAAAGGATGAAAATTTCGACAAGGGAGATACAAAGGAAAGTGAAGTTCAAAGCAATAAGAAAAATTCCAAATCGACCGATGGCGCGAGTTCGCATATAAACCAGAATGGCGAAGAACTTGGCTTCGCTTGCGATATTTGCGGGAAAAAGTTGAAACACATCAATTCAATCGCTTACCACAAGGAGACTGAACACAACATTAAAAGAAAATACAGTTGTCTGAAATGCAACAAAACTTTTAAACATAGGTAACTTTTCTGTTATAAAACTTAATTGAGTTGTTAAAAAAAGTAATTTTCTATCATATTCAACTAAATATTGTTCTATATAAAGAGAACAAAGCATAAATACTGAAACAGATATTTGAGGATCTACCGAAATGGTGGTATGATAGCTCATTGCCCAAATAATACACTAATTTTTATTTTGGCCATCTACTTCTCCTAGCTCTGGATTTTGAATGACATTTTTTCAGTTTATTATTAATTAAGAATGTTACTATTTTTCTTTAATTATTGCAGGTTATTGCTATTGCGTCATCAATTGGTGCATACAGAACACCGGCCTCATAAATGTGATTTGTGCGAGGCAAGATTTAAGACGAAAACTCACCTCATTCACCATAAAGTTGTACATACAAAGGAAAAAAAATTCCAGTGCCATATCTGCGAACAGTCTTTTTCATTTCAGACATCTCTGAATATCCATCTCAGGTCAGTTTACTAGTTTGGTTATTCAATATTAATTACTATAAGTTTTCTTTAGATGGCATACTGGACAGAAGCCATATCAATGTGAATTTTGCAAAAAGAGCTTCTCCCAAAAAGGAAATCTTCAAGAGCACATTAGGATACACACTAATGAAAAGCCATATTCTTGCAAGTTCTGTGATCGTAGATTTAAGACTTCTTCGCAGTGTAAAAATCATATAAAGTCTCATATAGGTAATGTTTTTTAGTTAACTATTCTACACTTTTTTTAAACTTTAATGAAAATTGTAGGGTTGAAACCTTGGAAGTGTGAATATTGCAGTAAAGCTTTTCTTAATAAAGCCTCGTGGGTTGCACACGTCCGCCGTCATACAGGAGAAAAGCCTTATGTGTGTAGCATATGCACAAGGGATTTCCCAGTGCATTCTGATTTCAAGAAACATCTTCGACTCCACACAGGAGAAAAACCGTACAAGTGTCAGATATGCGACAGGGCATTTTCAAACGAATCAAACATGATTAAACACAGGCGAGTTCATCTTAAAAAAGCCGGATTGGAAAATATACTAGACCAGTCGAACGAAGTCAATTCCAACTTCAACATCTGGACTGTCTTCAAACCTGAGGTTTCTTTTTTTTCCCCATCAATCAATCAGCTTTACAAGCGTTTAATCTAATTTGGTTTTCAGGATGAGTCGAATAAACAAGAAGATTTAAACTTGCAGCAGATATATTTCATTTCATACCCCGAAGCGGAGAATGAAGACCAAAATGAAAAAGTAAGATAAACAAAGAAAAAAAGTAAGAATACGATCTAATTTTTCTTACTAAAGGTTTCAGAACAGAAAGAGAAAATTGAAAGTGAAAAAGACCTAGACAGCACCGATCAAAGTAACAATATGATGCATCTTATGGATGAACTTGGAAATCCGTTAAGATTCACTACACAAGAAGGCGCTACAGTTCAGGTATATTTAATTTCTAATATTTTTAATTATTTGTAAATCTATCTTTTTAATTATTTCAGTTAACTACTGATGGCGAGTCTCTTCAGTTAACTTTTAGTGACGGTAACACCATACCTGTCCGGTTAACAGATAACGACACATCTACTCTTCAAACACCAATGCTTCCTACAACAGTAAATTTCAATAGGATCGAATTATTTTTTAAAACATTTCACTAACAATTTTTTGTTTTATCTTTTAGATGGTTTTCGATCAAGACGAAGTAGAACAAAACATAAACAGTCTTGGATTTGTAACTGAACACCAAGATGTTCGACTGCTCACTAGCATTTCCGATCCTTCTCTTGAATTCCTGCCCTTAGCCTAGTCATGTTCAGCTAATTTTAGCCTTGTAAATACTGTTTAATTTACATTTGTAAATATTTTTTATTATTTATTTGATATTTGTTTATTATATTTCTTATTATATATACATAAATGACAGTAATTTTGTAAAAGAATTGTTATTACTTATCATCTAAGCTTTTTTTTCTTTTTTTTTCTTCATAACCATTAGTTTGTAACACAGTACATAGTACATAAAGTGGCATAGTATAAAATCCCATTCTTTGACCATTCTGAAAAGGGGGCAATAGTTTTAAGCAAGTTTTATACCGTTGCTGTATAAGAAAATCTAAATTGAAGGTGTGACGTCAGAGTCGTTTAGTTTTTTCATTAGTTTTTCACCTGAAGATTCATCCAGTGTGTAATCATTTCTTTTTCCTTCTGTTTGTTCAGTTTCCCTCTTAACACACTTTGGGATGCCATTTGTGGTTTTGGTCCAATGGGTGGACCAGATGGTCCATCATGTCACCTGATGGATCAATGGTTCTTTGTTCAATTCTCAGGTCTAGATCCCATTTTTCACTTTTATTAATAAATCTTCATTTCAATACATTTTGATTGTACTATTGTTTTAAATGTAAGTGTGAATAGGTTAATTAGCATCAACGAATATCACACATCACGTTGGTATATCAACTCTGACAGGTTATTCTTCATTTTATGAGTATGGAGATTGGAAAACGTCGAGAACACCATTCTCTTGGAAAAAAGGTTATTAAAGAAAACTCAATTTATTCAAGGCCTTATGTTTATTAATCCTTCACATTCCTGCTTAATAAAAAATAAAGCAAAGAAGAATTAATATTACAAGTTTACTCGATTGCTGCTTGAATATAAAAAGATTGTTTTAAGCGAACCTACCTACATGGTAAAGTTGTGTGTGAAGTCGTACTCTATTGTTGGAATGACGGATTGAACAAATTTAAGAAATATGATTAGGTACATATGGACACCGAGTTCACCACCACCTTCGAGTACTGTTTCGATGATTTTCTTCATCACAATTGCATGGCTGCAAAATACGATTATAAAATAAAATTAAAAATATTTGTCATATTTGTGTTAACGAACCGGCAAGGATGTACAGAAGCCATTGGTGGCCCGGGGATGTGCGGGTGGCTCTCCATTGTCACGGTTTTCTTAGCGTGATCTTGACTCACATCGTCGTACATTTGTTGCACTGTCAAAGGTCTTCGACACTGTGATAAGAATACAAACTTAGATATTTAATACAATAATTCCAAAATAAAATGATTATTACCTCATCGTATCCTGTAAGCCAAAGTCTTGGTGTTTGATAATACTTGTCATAAGTGATATGCAAATCGTAAGTTCTTGTTTTTAAGATCTCTCCATCCTCCTTTACTGATGATTGTGGTGCGACCTCTGGTTTAGCTTCACTCTGTTAATTTAAATTATAGAAATGCCAAAGGTTACACATTCATTTTTTAATTGAGATGATACAACTTTTATTCAATTCAAATAAATATTGAAATGATTTAAAGTGACCAGAAACCACCCACATCAAACGAATTTTTTTTTTTCATAAACTTTAAATTGATTTTTGATCCACTTTCATAAATCAAAATTTATGACTAGTCTAGTTTCATAGTTTGATTAATGTTAGGTCATAAAATAAGTCAGTAGTGTTTTTTGACGACAAATTCAATGAAAATTTCATATATTAATATCTTCCATGTAATTATGTAAATACATCCCCCCCCAAACTTCTCAGGTTTTTGAGTGATGAACTTGATGTGTTTTCTACAGACCTCAAGTAAAATAAAGTTTTTCTTATTAATATTGTTTTGCAGAGCCCGGAATAGGATAAAATCTCAAGGGCAATGGCAGGTGGGGTAATACATCCCAGCCAAGCTCTAACAATTTCTAGTTCTCAAAAACAATCCCCTCTCAATTAGCCTAGGCCATTAGTTTTTAGTCAATTGGCAGCTTTAATCCAGCTTTTGGAGTAGTAAACGGGGGGGGGGGGGTAAAATTTTTCCAAGGATTTTCCTCTCTGAATATTGTTGTAAAGGACCCACTTTGGTCCAACAAATGCACCTCAGTCAACATGTGAGGACTCATTGCTCTGACAAACATCCAGTTACTCTCAGTTGCATTGAAATGAAAAAATATATGAGATTTGAAAAATATATGAGATATGTTAACCAAGGACTGTGACATTGCTAGATAACTGTGTAAAAATCTGTACAATTCATTCAGTCTTCGCCTCAGTTCTGTTCAATATTTTCTTCAATTCTGTTGCTTTGCCAAATGGGTGACAGAAAAAGGAGAGCCGCAATTTGTTGGATGAGTTACGAGAAGAGGAGAAAAAAATAAAAACAAACAACTGTGAGTGATGGTGCAAAGATTGGTATCAGAGGAAATTAATGATTTTAGAAATTAACTAAGAATGGAAGAATATGCATTTCAAACGATACTGAGCAAAGTATATGGGGGGGGGAATAACCAAGACAAAAATGTCTTGAAAGAAGAACTCCTCATGTGAGACTAACTGTTATACTTCTTCATTGCTTCAAAACACACGAGGGATAAAATCGAATTGAAAAATGTTATGGACTTATTTTTCAACTTTTTAATTTTTTAAGTATATATTATCCACACACAGATGTACAGAAATAAACCAATATACACCCAAATATAGTAGCACAAAAGAAAAATATTTTCTTTTATGGTAACACAGGTTCAGTTTATTTATTATTTTTGGTAATAGTTTATAAATTGCTTAAAAAAAAGTTATCTACTTTTTTCAACGATAATGAATTATATTCAATTCACTAATTTCGTGGTCCGCTTGACCAATCGATCGAGGTCACGATAGCTCAAGTGGTAGAGCAGCGGCGTATCAAGCCAAAGCTCATGGGTTCGAATCCCGCTCGTGCCATTGACTTTTTTATCTCAACTAAAAACCTTGATTAATTGTTAATGAATTACCTTATCTTCCTCATCCAGAAGTCCGCTTTCCTCAAATTCTTCCATATCAACCGGTTCAGCATCATCGTCATCCTCTTCATCTTCATCCTTATTAGTATCATTCTGTTCACAAGCCTTGACTTCTTTTGATATCCCAGAATCGGGGGAATGCGATCTCTAAAATAAGTGAATCAATTGACTTTTTTGTTACAATCTTGGTACACTGCCAAATGAATTTTAATTTTGGAAAATATTTAGACTTGAGGAAATGACGTTACTTGGTTGTCAGAATCAAAAGTCATCTCAGAAACTTTGTCATCGAGCCCGGCGAGCGGATCCATGTGATGGGTATCCACCCAACCACCTTCTGGGTCGTCAGAGTCGACGATCATCTCTAGATCATCGCAATACTCAATCTGAAAAAATAATATCAATGTTTTTTTTTTAAATTATTTTTTAATGCAGTTTGATTACCTGTTTGCATCTCCTCGTGCAAGGAACATTTCTTGTAATGAGAAACTGCTTGTCCTTTGGGAGATATGGCTTGCTTTTAGCACTGTCGCCTGCGGCCCATTGCCAGGTAGGGCAGTGATGTACTAAGTGGTCACCAGCAACAACAAATTCATCTGGCGTTATAACTCCAGTTTCTCGAAACTTTGATTCCTAATAGAAAAACATAATGAATTTAAAATCTCAATTATTTGTGTATTTTGTATCATATTTTTTTAAATCATTACTGCCCTGTATAAATTAAGAACAACTATGGAATATGAATAAATAAATAACAGTTTTAGATTTTTTAGCAAAGTAATATTTCTTTCAATCGTCTTCGCTCAATGGCCTTGCTGTGACCTATTATATTGATTGATTAATCAAAATGAATTGATGGACATAATCATAACCAAAACCAGTCTAAAAAAGAAAGCGTGATGTAATGCGGATAATAAAAATCGCAATGTATATATCGGGTTGTCCGGAAAATAATGCAGGATTTTGGTATTAAACAAAAAAAAAGAAACTAGTTACTTTAAAGCAATGTTCTTTAATCAAAATAATTTCCCANTTTATATAGATTTTTTTTAATGAAAACTTAAAATCCTGCATTATTTTCCGGACAACCCGATATATATATATATATATATATATAAACAATTCTTGAGAAAATAATTGTCACAATGTAATTTATAAATGTCATTACGATAGTACTTGCATAATTAAAAATTAAAGAGGAGCAAACTTACAATAAATAAATTAACGCAAGCAATTTTTTATTTATTTATTTATTTATTTATTTATTTTTTTTTTTTTTGAGGGGGGGAGGCTATGTCAAATTGACGTAAAAGATTTCAAGCCAATCACTTATATGAAAAAAATTTCTGCCTTGTAACACATCTAATTGTGAGATCAGATCATTCATGGTGATTTGTACCCGCCCAGACTCAATTGATCAATAATCAATAATCCAATAATAAAAATCCCCCCAAGCATGCAACCATCACAACGCACGAGAATAATTTTAAAGCACCAAACTAGTGATTCTGAGTTTAAATCGAGGCATAGCACTTGGGCATTTATTTTATGATCGTTTTAGTCTACCAGCCTCATTGAGTTGGTTTGTCTGGAATCTAGATTAGTGAAGACCAAATTCATATTCATCACAGTAGATTACATGTACAAATCTCACATCCTTGGATTTGTAAGAATAATTTGGAAAAAAAATTCTTCTGAGCCTTCGTCTTTGATGCTCAAATAGTTTGCCCTCAACACATGTTAACATACAAATAAGTTGATATATGATCATTACTCTTCTTTCTGGTCTGCTTATCTTCTTTGGATTGCTTTGGCTGATGGATTTGATGCCATCTTCAGTGTGTCTGGCAAAATGATGAAACACACCTGGCAGACAACCCAGCAAGGACAAGCAAACTAAATAATCAGTAACAAACGAATTTCAGGTTCATCACCCTGGAGACAACAGAAGAAATCTCACAATAAAAATGAGTTACACGAAAGTTCTACTGCTGTAGAGTATAGACTAATTTATATTGTTTCATAAAAAGGACAGCAGGTCAACAATTTTTCTGTAATTTTGGCTGCATAATAAAACTAAGTGTCCATGAATGAGGTATGGCCTATTCTTAGTCAGGTGGTAAAAAAATTCTCTACTTTGAAGGTATAAATTGTGACCTTAATATTAAGTATTTTCCATTGTTCTGCAGATTTATCAAAGACAATAACGAAATCAGAAATTTGTCTGACAGACCAAACCAGCGAGACTAGGCAGACTAAAATGATTGGTAATGACCAAACAATTATAAGCCTGTCTTAGTATAATTTAGCATAAATAAGAAAGAAATAACTGTTAAGATATGGCAATATTTTCAAGAATTTTGTACGTTTTTTAAATACATTAAGCTGAAAATCTCATCAACCAAGTAGGAATCCAAAGAACAAAAGTGAAAAAAAAAATTCAAAAGAACGTTTCCAGAAGCCTGGGGGAGGTAGAAGTACATCAAGCAAATAACCCCAATAAATAACAAAAAAGAGGAAGAGACTTGGCGAGGGAAAGTTTTTGTACATCACGTGCAGGACTGAAATAAGGACAACATAACTTTGGGATCGCAAGTCGCATGGATGGTCAGGCAAGAAGGGCTTGACTGACAGGTCCCAAGAATTTGCTTTTCCTTCCTTCCACCCTAGTTTTTGGAACCAATATAAAAGGGGAAGATTGGAAAAGCAAAAAAAAAAAAAATCAAGTTGAGTAAAATATCAAGGAGTCTTAATGCAAGAAGAGTCAAACGTCAAGTACAGTTGAGATCAAAGTGAGTCGAATGAAGACTCAGTGATAAAGAGAAGAAAAAATCGAGGAAAGGCACACGAGAGGCAGTCTAGGGCAGAGTCAAATTAAATAAAGTCAACTGTCAAGTTAAGTCCTGAAGAAAGAAGAGTCAACTGATAAGGAGAATTTAGATCAAAAGGAGGAGAGAATATTAAAATCTGGAAGAAAGTGAAGAAAAAGTTGAGAAGAGTCACAAGGAGGCAATCCAGGGCAGAGGCAAACTGAATAAAGTTGTACATGAATGAGAGTCCTCATGTTGAATGAGTTGACTGATGAGAAGAGCTGGGACTAGTGGGGCTCGAGGGAAGACATGGGAAGAAAAGTAGAAGAGTCTCGATAAGGCACACAGAGAGTAGGATAGAGTTGACTGTCGAGAAGAGTCCTTACAAGGAGAGTTGAGACCACGGGGAGTAGGCAGTGACAGGGGAAGAGGGCTGTATAATAGAAGCTCTCATAGTTGCAGGGTGTTGCATGGATAGCAAGGGATCATAACTGATTCTCGTAATAAGGGCGTTGACCAGCAAGCCTCAAGAATTTTCTTTTCTTCCCTCCACCACTAGGCAATAGAGTTAAAGAGTCAAGGCACGAGGGAGGCAGTTGTGGACTGAGACAAACTGAATCAAGTTGAATGTCAATGAGAGTCCTAATGTAAAATGGGTCGATTGATGAGAAGATTTAAAACTAGTGGGAGTAGAGTGAAAACTTTGAAAGAAAGATAGAAGAGTCAAAGTAAGACACGAAGGAGGCAGTCGAGGCCAGAGACAAGTAAGTCGACTGATGAGGAGAGTCCCAATGCAACGAGAGTCATCTGAGAGGAGTTGAGATCATGAGGAGTTGAGTTATGACATGGGAAGAAAGTTAGAAGAGTCGAGATAAGACCCAAAGGAAGTAGTCAAGGACAGAGACGAGTAGGATAGAGTCGACTGTTAACGAGAGTCCCGATGTAAGGAGAGTCATCTGACAGGAAAGTTGATACCACAGGGAGTCAAGTGAGGACATGGGAAGTTAGGTACAAGAGTCAAGGAGAGACATAAAGAAGACAGTTAAGGACAAAGACAAGCAGGTTAGAGTTGACAGATGAGAGTCCTAATGTCAGAGTCATCTGACGAGGAGAGTTGAGACCACAGGGAGTCAAGTGAGGACATGGGGAGGAAGGTTGAAGGAACTAGGACAGACACAAAACAGGTAATCAAGGCAGTGATAGGGAAAAGTTGGATGTGTAATGGAAGCTCCCATAATTGCAGGGTGTTGCATAGGCAATATAGGATCCTGACTGATCCTCGCAATAAGTGAGTTGACCAACAAGCCTCAAGAATTGGCTTTTCTTCCCACCACCCTTGTACAGGAGAATAGAACAGTCAAGGAGAGTCACAAGGGAGGCAGTCTTGGGCAGAGACAAATAAAGTTGACTGTCAAGGAGTTTTTCAGAAAGCGGAGACAAAGACCAGGAAAGGCGACAAAAGCTGAAGGATGTGGCAATCTGTATAACTGTCATCTTGAGTAAGTTCGTTTTATGAATATATCCCCCCCCCTACAGTTAAAGAGTTGTGGCTGATTTTTATTCAACTAATTTTATCAATGTCTTAATGGGTTTTGACCCAGTCTTTTTCCTACAGTTCCTCACCGAAGATGGCACAATGCCAAATGTGTCTGAATAACTCAACACACTTGCAAGTGAAGACAAACCCAGCAAGCGAGCCGGTTCAGTATGAATATAAATAAGATCATAGTTCAGACAAATGTATCAATAAATGGATATAAAAATTTCTCTCTGGTTTTTCTATTTTTTGAACTTTACACAAAATAAAATTAAACTAGCATGTACGCTAAATATCTTCGTTTAACTTAACAGTAGGGATATAGAGCATCCACATAAATTATAGTGTATCTATTGTATAATACAGCCCATACTCTGACTATACAAATAAAGTATTTAAAATAATGACACCGTTTTTAATAAATCCGTGTATTATTGATTAAAAAAGACAAATTATAAAAAGGTTCAAAATGAAATTATGAGTTCCAGACCTTGAGAACTGGAGTCAGGTACTCAGCTACCCCCAAGGCGGTCCCTTTGACCGTGTTGATAACGCTCTGCATGATTTTTATCGTCCGATTAAACAAAGGGATTGGCTTCGAAATCCCCTGATTTTTTTACAAATGAAAACGGCTAGGCCGGAGATCCGGCTTTACATGGCTAAAAATTGTAACGAATACGAATCAAAACTACAATTTGACTTCTGAAGTTCTAATAAGTAATAATCGACAGCTTTGTCCTTGTTACTCGACAAGAGTCGGGAAAACTGGAAAGAGGTTACTTCGCTGTTTCAAGTTCTATCGCCGTCTAGGTTATTGTAAGGGTTTTGATAAAATAGATAAGGGCCGCGAATGTTTTGAACGTCAACCTTTAAAAGGAATAATTTATTATGTCGACGAGCTCGGCGCCCTTCGGTTTATATCAAGAATACCAACGTTTCGTCCAACGCCTCACTGGTGAGCCAAGCATTTTAAAAATAATCCTCTTCGCTTCTCGCACCTCTCCAGACGGAATATGTTCCGTTTTTAAAAGGGAAATTACACAACCGGAGTAGAATTGATAGACACTGACGATTGAAAATGGAACGTTTGTGTGATACAGCATAAAAAGTGGTGTGTCAAGGGAATCCCTTTGGACAATACCGTCTCATCTATTATTACTACCTTCTGCCCAAGGATTTACAGTAGGTGTGTCCAATTTAGCAGCCAAGGTTATTTTTGTATTCACAGCCGAATCGTACATTAAATAAATGAGAGTCATTCGTTTGAACGTGTCTTACAGTTGGTCGTTGAATCAGGAAGTAGGTCGTTCCTGTTGTTTACGCGCTTCTGTCGAAACTATGTTCTGTGCATTAACTGTATTCAGTGTAAGCAGCACTGCCATTAATCTTTTACTTTATTTTTTGTACTTGTAATTCCAGCTATTGAAGTACTAAATGAAAAATCTGTCAGGCAGACGAACCGGTTTTGCCCGATAAGAACAGACCAGGATAGTTAGAACAATGATGCATTGTTTAAATCAAACCAAGAAATTTCAATAGTTAGAAGACAATTCAGACAGTCGACAGTCAGGCCTGTTGTGTAGGGAACTTGTCACTGTAGAGCACCTAGTGACAGATTTTATGCCAAGAAAAATTTGGGTTATCATGCATGATTTGTGCATGAACTTTGAGCAAAGATCACTGATCAATTACCTCAGTGGATAAATATTTTAAAATATATATGCAGATTTCTGTATGTTTATATTTATGATATACTTGTATCTATTTCTATATCTATTTTATTCCTTAAGTTGTTCATTCAATTAGTGGTCAGACTATTTAAACACATGGAAACAATAACGACTAAATGGTTGTCTGACTACCAATTTTTTTATATACGTTATGTATTGGAACAAATGTATTTTTTAGTGATAATAATCCCTCAGGAATACACATGCATGAATATGTGTTGTGTGACTGTATTTATTAGCTTGAATGAAGATGGTAAATGAAAAACAATTTGTATTTGTAACTGTGCATTGAGTAAATACAGGTGCTTCTTTCCATAATACTCTGAGGAATATCGAGTACTCTGGGACAGTTAGAATGAATTCTGGTCTTTAAATGTAATTTGTTAAGTGAATAGAGGTGCCTCTTCCCAAAATCCCCGAAGGTATATCGAGTACTCTGGTGGTGCAGCTTGAACAAAATCTGTGTTTAAATGTAATTTGTTAGCAAGAATAGAGGTGCTTCTTCTCATAAAATTCAGAGGATTATCGAGTACTCTGGGGCTGCGTGAATTTTTGTTCATTAACTATGCTTTGTTGTGATTGCGGAGAATTGGGAGAGCAGGACCAGAGGCCCGAGGCTGCCAAGGGCGAAGCCTACCAAGCCAATTTTTCCCTTGTTTTTTAACTTAATGTTCAGAGCCTTTTCCAGTGGCTAAAAACCATTTACATTATATATGGAAAAGTCCAAATCCTACTCACAGTAAGTATCGGTATTAACAATTCTTTAGAATTGATAAAAGAATTAAATAACATGAATATACCCAAGAATGTTTTAGTGTCATTTGACATTACTAATTTATTCACAAATATCCCCATTGAAGAATGTAACTCATAAAGCAACAACCGAGAATTATATTAACAAATTTGTAAAAAATGATATAATAGACCTCTTAATTATATGCCTATTATCTAATTATTATAAATTCAATAATGAATTTTACAAAATGAAAGAATTACCAATGGGGTCTCCATTATCCCCACTCTGTGCCAAAATATTCATGGATAATTTTGAAAAAAATCTTTTCAAATCATACAACAAATTAATTAAATCTGTCCATTTTTGGAAACGCTATGTAGATGATATTTTATGCATATGGTCGGGAACATTAGAGGATCTCAAAGAAATCCTCCAACTAATTAATTCTCTACACCGTAATATAAATTTTACTTGGAAATTAACAAAGATGATTGTTTGAACTTTTTAGACCTAAAATTCTCCATAATAAACAACCTAATTGAAATAGACATATATAGAAAACCCACAACTACAGACACTATGATACCAGCAGATTCTTCTCACCCATGGTGCTGTCGGCTGGTTTCATTTGGCTCATAGACCGTATGTTAAAACTTCTACGTTTTACACCTGCTAACTATAAAAAAGAATTAGAAACTATTAAAACCTTAACAATGGGTATCTAGAAATATTTATTGATAGGTTGCTAGTTAAAAGAATAAAAAAATTAATTTTAAAAGAATCCATAATAGGACTCAGCCACGCCATCATAAATGAATCATTAGGTTTCTGTTGTTTGCCATACATTGGTGAATTATCAGAAAAAGTTAGTAAAATTTTTAAACAAAAATGTTTTAGAATAGCTTTTAGAAGTACGGGTTCACTTAAAAACATCCTCTCAAAACCTTTGTGTCCAAAAGACAAGGTAGACAACTTGGCAATATAAATATATAGGACAAAGCGGTAGAGAAATAAAAACGAGAGTAAAAGAACACTTGCCTAAATCGAACAAATTTTCGGAATTTAAGGACCATCTAAAAGAAACAAAACATAATTTCAATTCAAATTTAAATACGACAGTGTTACATAGTTTCAACAAAGGGAGAAAACTTAGATTGATTTGAGAAAATTGAAATTAAAAAATGTAAAATTGAACATGGAGATAAATGCATTAATAATATAATAGATTTTGATCTACTTCCCATTTTAAATATGTACATAAATAATATTAAACATCCAAATAATTAAATTAATTGTTTTAATTGTTATTATTATTTTTATCATATTTTAATAATATTAAGGTATTGTTCTAATTTTTTATCTTTTATCTCTAAACTTACTGTAAGCAGGAACTATCTTTTTAAAAAGGATTGAACACCGCACTCACTCCACCATTCATCATTTCTATTAAGTCCAAATCCTGTCAGGGTCTGGGGCTAACCTGCCCACCAAGCCCTCATGTCCTGGTCCAAGATCAGCCCCCGGCACCCTCCCCCCACTTGACCAACCCCACAATGGCATGTTGGATATAGACTATATAATTATTTTATAAGTTATAAAAACCAGGTAATAAACTAGGAATTTGTTGTTGTTGTGTGTATATTTGTTGTCTGTAGTGAGGATACGTTTTAAATAAAAAATTTGTTTGCTGAAATAAATCTGTATAAGGCAAGTATTATTTCTTTTGTTGTCTACTTTGCTTATGATCTGCTTTAAAATTGGGTGCTTAATGTAATTTATTAGTGCGAATACAGGTGCTTCTTTCTATAATACTCTGAAGAATATCGAGTACTCTGGTGCAGCATGAATAAAATCTGTTGTTTACATTTAATTTATTAGCAAGAATAGAGGTGCTTCTTCCAACAATCCCCCAAGGAATATATTAAATTTTAATAATTTATTTCATAAACTGACTAAACCAGTACCAAAAACTTGCATAAAAATACAGTCAACTGTACTTGCACGAAAAGTTAATAATTAAGGTGTACTCACAACAAAAGTTCCGTATTTCACACAGTATTTCACATGCTACATGCTTTGTAAATCTGTCCATAGCATTACCAAAAATTTAATAATTTGTCCCATAAGATGTACTAATTTGCTCCAGAAGCGTACTGTTATAAGCTAACTGTTAAGAGCTCATACTTCATGCCTATGTCAAAAGATGTAGTAGTTGACCATACCATCACCTAAAGTTTTAAAGTTTGCCATATTTGCTTAAAAAACAACAGCTCACTATATATGTACAATAAGCTCTTCATACACACACCAAAAGCTTAGCACATCCATATAATAAACTTATGATAGGCTTATTATATCAAATGTCATAGATGATGTAGCTGACAATCATCTAATGTTTACTAAATTTGCACCAAATATACACTAGATATTGAAGATAAATCAGCCCTACTTGCCTCAAAAGTTTAATAATTAATATTTATTCTGTAAGATAATCTGCACATGGGTTATTGAAACTTAAAATTTTGTACAATAGCTTAGTAAATCTGTACTTTAAGCTGTCCACATCTTCCCCAAACATTAATCATTTATTCCATAATCTAGCAATTATGTTGCGCATTGATCTTATTATATATGTACAATATGCTGTATGTACTATAATTGTTAATGTACATGTAACATAATTGTATTGTATAAATGTAATTGTAATAATTGGTTGTCTTAGTACTGTAAGTAGGTGACTGCGTGAAGGTTTAAACTATCTCTCTATATTCGCTTGCTTTCCTCTAAGGGATAAGAGAGTAGTCGGCATAAGCGTTTTGCTACTTTTTCTTATGTTGGGGAAAGTAAGGTTTGAGAATTCAGTAAATCAGAGAATATATTTTTCAACATTTATTTTAACACACTTCCTTTTTTTATGTACTCAACCACAACAAAATCTTAATTAATCTAACAAGTCAGCCACATCTCTAAATCTGGGATGAGTCTATTAACAAAGGGACTTACCCCAAATGATGCTCGCCATGATTAGCACCCTCAGCACCTATCCAATACCTCGACAATTGATGATCTGATGGGTCACAACAGCTGTTCCTCATTGGCTCTAGCTGGCTGAGTGCCTTTGGTCAGTCCCAGACAGAGTATTGTTGCTTCTCTTCCGAATTGACTGCTGGGGTTGACTGCCTGAGTTGAGACTTTGCCTGACTGGTGTGAGCTCTTGAGCTTAACTCACTGGTTTGAGCCCTTGGTCTACACTGATTTTTGATTTCAAAATCATCTCTTTTTATACCAGTTTCTCTACTGGAATAGGGGTTAGAAAGGAAAATCAAAAGCCCGGGGAATTCTCATATCACGGGTAGACCAGCGAAGACAGCTGTTGTGCACCTAGTTGATGAGGCCCCAATTTACAATGTCCCACATCGCTACTTATTTTTGGCCTTGTGACAACCCTTCAGCACTAAATAACTCGATGTTAGTTATTTATTTGATCAGTTGTTCAACTATTGCAGCTTTATGTTTTTCAGGTTTGTGGGAAACATCCTTGGTCTAAAACACCATTCTTATTTATTTGACCAACTGTGTCAAAGGGTCATTGCAGGGCTAGGTTTCCCTGGTTTATGAGGAAGTCACGTCACTCCTGTCTTTGATATGACACCCTTTGACCAACTACTTAATTATTGCAGAGTTATGTTTCCCAGGTTGGAGGGGACATCACGTTCTCTTCTGGGTGATTGCCCCTTCCAATTTATAACCTTTTCTTTTATGGTTATTTAAACTAATTTTTGTGGTTCTTATTTTAACAACTACCACTTATTCTAAGAGGGGACCGCCTTACAATACCATTAGGCAAAAGTAGATCCATTCACCCTTCTTTTCCTTCTTTATCAACTCCTGTACAGGGAGTTGGATTGCATGGACTTCAGCTTAGAATGAATACAGTTGTAACAGATCCAAGGGTTTTGCTAGGGTGTATTTCTGGTTTCATCTTTGATCTATCAGTAAACTATATTAGGGCATCTTCCAGAAACTTAGGGTTGCCTTTTTTCTAAAGACCTCTTTATCTGTGACCACTTGGAAAGTCTGTCAAAGTTGAGCTTTCTTCTCATTTATTTAATTCTCTCTAGAATTTTGTAACAGCTTCTACTTCGATCTGCTTTTATTTCCTTGTATCTCAAGTGCATATTGGCACTCTCAAAAGCCACCCTTGGTACATGAATGTGTATAGGTGGGAGATTTTGTGCGATTTCTATCGTTATTTTGGAATAAGTATACACTACCACTGTCGGCATTCAAATTCCATCCAAATATAAATTAAAAATTTTCTACTAATAAACAAGTATATTTTTGTTTGCAAGTAAAATTAGAATTAGAATTGTACTTTTCAACATAAGCCTCAAGAATAATCAGTATTAATCCATATAAGCATATTTAGCAGTCATAATTGACTATATTAATTATTCTTTTCATCTAAGGTCTTAGACGAGATGAAAAACTTAGTGCCATGAGCGGGATACGAACCCATGACCTTCAGCTCAATCACCGCTGCTTTAACCACTCGAGCCGTCATGACTTCGATTCACTTGGAGAGCAGCGGTGTATTGAGCCGAAGGTCTTGGGTTCGAATCCTACTTGTGACACTAACTTTTTCTTCTCATCTAAGACCTTAGATAAAAAGAATAATTAATTGAAAAAATTATCTGTTCACCAAATTTAGCAGTAGGATTGTTCTAACAATTTTAAAAAAATGTATTTGTTTTTAAAAAACTACATGAAAAATATAGATAAATTAAATAATTTAACAACTTAAACCTTTTTTAAAATAATCAATGTCAGCTTTATGCCGATTGGGTTTTCTGTGCGGATTTTTTATGTAATTGTATTTTTGTTATAACAGCAAATTCTTCAGGCAAATCAACTTGCAAATTCCATTTATTGGCACAGGCTTTAAGCAAATATTGATTTTCTCATTACTCTATGATTCTTTAATTGATGAGGTAATTATAAATATTTACTTTATTGGCAGTTTTGAAGTATAGCATGTCAGTATTTTAAATATTAACTTTTTCAAACAGTTTACATTATCTCAGCCAAATATTTTATTAAATAATATCTTTCAAACAATTTTTTTAAATATTAATATACATAATAAAACTGTCTAAATATGAAGGTTAAGAAAGAAAAAAAGATAAGAAGAACCTACTGTTGAACATAGTCATAATTTTGTAATTGTTACATGTTTGGTTACTGTATATACTAAATTACTCCTATTTTTAATCTCACCACTTATGTACAAAGTATTTTCTGTGGTTCTGAAATTATGTATTTTATGATATGGAGGGAAATAAAAGCCATTATTTTTTGGGCTGATTTTACAATGAAGGGGTAGCCATTGTAGAAAGCTATAGCTATTGTATCAATATTTTGGCAGTTTAATTTGTTTGAGTAAGATCAAAATTTTTGTTCCACCACAAAATTATCATTCATTTTGTTAACTACTTGCTTTGGTGATTGGTCAGCCTTCTCAGTTTAAATATTTTCAATTGAGTGAATATTTCTCATTTCTTGACAACAAAATCTTTAGTGTAAATCTGAATTAGAAGTGTGTCATGTGTCAAATTTACAGTTCAAAGCAAATCTTTCCCCACAATCTACTACAACATTTCATATCTCCAAATCTGACTGCGTTTGTTACCATAAGTTTCACTTGAAATGACAAGACTAACAGATGCTCAAGTTTCTACAAACTTATGGGATGTCAAAGCTATCGACAAGCAAATTGAAAATCTACAAATTGCCCCTGCAACATATTTAAGGATATAGAACTGTGGGAAACCACTATAGCTTCCAGTATCCAAAGTCCCCAATCCTTTCAATTTATAGTCTTTATCTTTTGTAAATGCTTTGTATTATGTCTCCAATACTATCCATTTATCCAAAAATAAATCATTAAAAAAATTTATCGAACTCGACAATAAAATCCCCGATCACTTCAATAATCTTGCCCAAGCCTTGTCCCATAAAGCTCATCTCTATAATCCTATAATCTATTGAAAAGAAGTGAAATTGGAAAATAATCCATATATCTATTTGGTAGTCATAATTGACTGTGTTAATTATTTTAATTAATTATACTTTTAATCTAAAGCCTTGGTTGAGTTGAACGAGTAGGATTCGAACCCACGACCTTCGGCTTGATACCACTGCTCTAACCACTTGGGCTATGAAGTTGAATTGTGAGAAGCCACAATAGCTCAAGTGGACAGAACAGCAGCATATTGACCCAAAGGTTGTGGGTTCGAATCTCGTTCGTAACACGTGCTTTTTCATCTCAATCAAGACCTTAGATTATGTAAATGATTGTAAATATATATATTTGCTGTAGTTTTAAATTGCAGATGGTAGCAATTTTCTTTTTTAAATCAGAATACAACATGGCATTTCATTGTAACATTAAAAATTTATTTATAAAATCTTTAGACACTTGTTTTGCAGCTAGATGTATGTATTAGTCAGGGGTGTGTATTATACTGAACCCTTTAAGAGCTGATGCCAATAGAAAAACCTTTAATGTTGAAAAACAGTTAATTATCTGATTCAAAATAAGGAGATAATAAGTTTTTTCTAATACCCAATATGCTTTTTTTTTTTTTTTTTTTACAATTCATCGGTTTTTGAGATAACACCTTCCAAAAGCTATGAAATGCCCAAAATGCATTTTCTGCCTCAAATAGAACATTAGATAAAAATGTGCTGTAAATGTTTTGAAAATTATCTGTTTATCAAGTTGAAACACGGCTAAACTGAAAACATATATTTTTTCCTGTTTAGGGTAACATTTATCTATCTTTACTCGGTTTTGTCAAACAATCAGTCTTTATAAGCTTGGTCTGCCAAATTTCCACCTATTGACAAAACCTGTACAATGAACCTATATGATAAATGTTTTGTTTGTATTAAATAAATAGCTCCATTATCTTACTATTTTGATATTTGATAATTTGCTAATAATTTTTTTACAATATAATTATAAAAGAGGCTATAATTCCTAGCATTTTGTCATTTATTTTGATTAAATCCAACACATTGTTGAAACAGCCGATTTGCTCTTTTGAAAATAGAAAGAACTTCATGTAAAATAATTAATTTTATGATTTTATTGACCTTTTATTGATAGTTTCTTTTTGTTTACACACCCCTGAATTATCTATTTGGGTACATATCTTGTGATTTTCTTCCAGTGTGGTATCTATTTATTGTCAATCGTATCTAGAATGAATCATCTCCTTATCTGTGTTAGTTGCATTTCTTGCTCTTTATAAGTTTTCCACATTCTTTAATTCAGTGCTTGTTTCACGTGTCAGAGCATAGGTGGTTTTCAATTGAATTGTTAATGAACAAGTTGGAAAACATCCTCAAGATGTTTTCTACAGGTTGTTTAATTTATTGATTTAATAGGTTTATAAGAATTAATGGATTTTATTTTTCAAGATTGTCTAGATGATTGAGGATGGATGAAAGCCATCAACAGCTGCTTCAGACATTAAAGTCAGTTGTAGAAGGTCTTCTTAACTGCCAGGTAGCGAATGTTTGGGATATATACGGTGGTCTAAGCCGTCTTCACAGCATACTGGAGAGGATACTCAAACACGAGTTCAGGATATTTAAACAAAACGTATGTTTTTTTATTTATTTTGACTTGATGTTTGTAAAATACTAAAAGGTTTTATTTCAGGGCGAAGAAGATTGTTGGCTTTTCATACAGGGTTTAAATTGGCTGCAACCGTCATTGGCAACATCTCCAACACCGGTCTCTCCAAACTCACCTCCTCCACATCCGCATACAGACAAAGCTATGATATGGCTTCACAACAGGTTTGTTTTATGGCTGTTTTTGTGACTTTTTTTTAATACCTCTTCATTTTCTAGCCTAGAAACTCATAGTTTGTCCGAAAAGCTTGCGTGGCTGGTGTCGGATGAACAACATCTCGCATCCTGCTACAATTCTAGGGCTTTCCTCCGACAACCTAGATATATTGAAGCATCTCTTGTTTGCCTCAGAGCTATAGAACAAAATCAACTACCACTTTTAGCTGAAATCCATCCTTGCCTCGTATGTTTATAATTTTTTTTCAATTGCATATATATAAAACATGACATAAAGTTTTTCAATTATGTAAATATTTTAAAAATTATCGTGATATAATTAGTTAGAGAGTTTTTAGTTCATCTATTAATCTTAGAATATAGTTCAGGTGAGAATTTTTTTGTTTTTTGTTATTAAGGTTGTTTTCCAAAAAAAAATACTATCAGTTCATTTGATGTAATTTTTTTAAAAGTATTTTTGACATATTTTATTAATAACACATAAATTCAATATTTGTGCACCTAGTATCTCTCAGAAAGAAGCCTTCGAGCACAAGAGAAATTTCATAGGAGGTGTTCTTCTTTCCCTGAGTCAATACAGAGAACAATGTGGTCTCCGAAGCCTCTTCTTGATTTAAAAAAGGCAGCCAACACTGAAATGACTGACTTATCAAAAAAAACGTCCATTCCAACCAAGGAAATAGCCGAGGAGTCCAGGATAACCGAAGAGCAACCAGAACAATCTCAGCCAGGTAAATTGTACAGGCGTGTATTTTAATTTATAATCGTTTTATGTTTTGATTTTGTCGCCTTAGACAAGAAAGAAGGCGTTCTTTATAAAATTAAACCTTGGAGGAGTCTTCCTGATATGTTTTATGAAGATGTAAATATTAACGACAATCAACCTAAAGGTTCATTCGAGTCTTCCAGCCGTAAAAGTAAAACTGAACCTTCAAGTCCTGTCAGGGTAATTTATTCACAAAGTCATAAATCATTAATCAATTCATTATATTTTTATAATATATAACAAACATTACAACAGCATTCTGAAGAAAAAATCAATCCGAGCATGGAGAAGATTGTTTACAGTTCGCTGAAAAATGAAAAACCTTTTGCAAACAAGGTGAAGAAGAATGAAAAATTACAAAGAAATAATTCAGTCAGCACAAGTATGTTTTATTTTATTCAAATAATGGATGAAAAAATATACAAAGAATATTTCAGGTGAAAGTTGCCAGGATTTAAATGTAAAAACTTCATTTATCGAGGACGGAGGAGGGAGGAGTATACTACCAATGACAACAGGGTCTTCCTTCCCTAAGCCTGAGCAAGGCCAAAGTCTGACTAGTTTCCTTTCCTCTAAGGTTTTTACACAATCCCATGCCGAACTGGACAGGGAAAACGCCCATTTCAGTATCTGTGAGGCCATTATTGCTGCCATAGAACAAGTCAAGTGTAATAAATGGGAGAAAATGATGTATGATGGTGTAGAGGAGAGCGATGAAGAGTTCAAGGAAAGAAAACAAAGAATAAGAGTTCGGAGAAGGATAAAACCAGATGAAAAAATTGGACCAATATCTTGCAGTGATAGTAAGTTTCTCTCTCTCTCTCTCTCTCTCTCTCTCCTCTCTCTCTCTCTCTCGTTCACTTNCTCTCTCTCTCCCTCTCTCTCTCTCCCTCTCTCTCTCTCTCCCTCCCTCATCCCTCTCCTCTCCCCTCTCTCCCTCTCCCTCTCTCTTTCCCTCTCTCTCCCCCTCTCTCTCTCCCTCTCCCTTTCCCTCTCCCTCTCCCTCTCTCTCTCTCTCTCACTCCCTCTCTCCCGTTATGAATATTTACATTTATTTATCATACATTTTTATTTTTTAAGCTACAACAGATCAGAGCTTTAGTCCTAGATCTTCAGATTCACTTGGTGGTTCAAATGACAGTATATCGACGGGTGTTGATGATCTTGAAATGGATCAAGTGTCCTCTTTGAATCTTCACGAAATGAATAAGTCTGGTAAAATTGAACTCTTGGTACACCTTTAAATCATAGTCTGATTCATATAATTATTTTAAGGTCTCAGTCTTTCCATGGCATCTTTGTACTCTGAGGCGGACTTAGGTGGCAAGATACAAAAATCTACAACAGGGACATGCATGTCCAGTCCACTTTCAACTTCTTGCACTACACTGAAGAGTTCGACTACATTGAGGAGTACAAGTCCTGAGACAAACCAAACCAATACAGCTGAATCAGTTGGATTGTCCTTACTGTCAAAGTTTGAAGATAAACAGTTACCAAAGGCATCAGAAATCCAATGGCTTATCTCTAATGGAGAAGTTTTATCAAAAAAGGTGATTCATTGTTGTTTGTGGTAGTAGAATGGTTTAACATGTTCAGTGCGCCCTGGTATTGCAATTTTCACTCTCCTGGCTGGGAAAAATTTCCTATTTCAAGACTCATGGTATTTGGAAACAATTGATACTGGCAAAATACTAAAACTACACTGTAAAGAAATGCAGTTTCTTCCACTGTAAAAATTGTTGGGTTCCTAGCAGCATGTCGAAATAGGATGAAAAATTGTGATACTTCTTGGCTTGCATGCTGGTTACCAGCACTGAATGTGTTAAAAATTAAAAGTAAATTTGACTAATTGCTAATTTTAAACTTATGTTGAGGAGAGCGGCCCCAGAAGAAAAGTCCAAATGCTTTGTTCAAAACATTTATTGACAACGAAGCATTTGGACTTTTCTTCTGGGGCCGCTCACTTCAACATAAGTTTAAAATTAGCAATTGATTATCCAACAGCCGACTAAAACAAGGACATAAATTTGACTAATTTCTTAATTTTAAAACTTTTTTTAAGTCTTCTACACTGGATACATTTGTTATCGATGACGATCAAATGAAGAATGCAACAGCATTGAGAGGCACTGAAAACTGGGCTCCACCTAGGCCTCAGATTATATTTACAACTCAGCCACCTCCAAAGTAATTTTATTATTTTCACACTTTCAAATTTTCCTTTGTTAAATTTTACTTCAAACTTTAAAAAAAACCTAATTCATTACAAAATGTAAAATTCAAGGAGAAAAGAGCAAATGGAAAAACAAAATTACCTTTGTGCTGGCTGCGGTATGAAAGTCGCTCCAGAATATTCGCACAAATTCAGGTATTGCAACTATTTAGCAAGGTATTTCTGCACTGGCTGCCACAAGAACAAACAAATGCTTATACCAGGGAGGATTTTGTCCAAATGGGATTTCAACAAGTAGGTTTTTCTATAGTACTTTTGTGCCAATTCCATTGTGAATTAATTTTTTTTTTAACTTTTAAAGGTATCCAGTATCAGATTTTTCCTACAATCTTCTTGAGAAGATGATGGATGATCCGCTTTTCAATGTCAGTGACAGGAACCCTGATCTTTACAAAAGAGTAAAAAATCTAGAAAAGCTGAGGACATTGAGGCTACAGTTACCACTCCTTAAGGAGTTCTTATTCCAGTGCCGATATTATACTCAAGAGTAAGTCACAATATAATAAATAATTTACACTTTCAGATTTATAACTGCTATATACATTGCCTAACATTAAAACAGTTAACACAACAAGTAAAACAAATAAAACACACACACTAATGAAAACGAAATACTACTGTCTTCTCATTCGTTTGAATTTTACAAGAACTTAGAAATAAATAAAAACATTTATCCTTCATGGGTTTTTAATCAAAAATTACTTTTTTAAATGGATGAATATGTAGTTTTAAATGAAATTATAGTAAGAGGACTTGTTGTTTGTTAACATTTTTCCCGGATTTTTTTTGGCTAATTTGTAACATGATAAAATATTTTCATTAAGGTTTTTTCCTTCTTCGGGATCACTGTTGACCAAACTCTCCTTTTCTTCTATTGTGATCTAAAAGATCTATTAGGGAATTCGGCCTTCATTATTTCCAAACCTTGAAAAGTCCATTACCTTTAGCAGCATGTCAACTTTTTTCTTTTTTAAACCACGTAATTTGCTTAGTTTGTTTAGACACTACTTTTATTCAAATACACACCCAAATTGAACAAACGTTCTGTGGGTTTCTTACTTTTCATTGACTTAGCATTGCGAGGCTGCAATTCTTTTGTCATATAATTTTTATCCCTTTGGTAAACATTAAAAAAAAATCATTTACATTATTTTTAAAAACCTACCAGGGGACCACAGTAGCTGAGTGGTTAAGGCATCAGTCTCTTAAAGCTAGTAGATCCCACAGTCGTGGGTTCAATCCACACTGTCGCATCTGTACTTTTTCTGACACCTAAGGGCATAAAATTGGCGTGGCACTATCAATGGAAGGTCTGGGGTGGGATCAAATCTTAGCAATCCTGAAATTGGCCCCCCTTCGAAAATGTGTTTCTTCGATAGAAGAACAGTGGCATACCAGTTCTCAATTCATATACGTGTACTCCAAAAATGGAGCCAGAAAGGAGTACAATATGCTGTACAAAGTTGCAGTGCTTAGGGGAATTTCTCCAGTTTCTGGCATCCACTACAGGAAAAAAAAAACTTTTAAAAAAGTACTCATCAGAGAGCTATTTTTTGTGATAAATTGTGTTCTGCTCTGGGCAACCAAAATGGTACACATCTTAAACATGACATGATAGTGTTCCACTTTTGGGGCTCCTCTTTGCTTATTTCTTTAAACATTTCTCACCTTTCCAAAGAGGCTCAACCATTTCTGAGCTAATGCTTTGCATTCACAAAGGATATTGTGATATTTCTGCCTTTTAGGTTCTATTCTTCCAAGCATCTCTGGTTATTTTTATTGGAAAGGTCTTTCAAAATTTTCTTTTAATTTCATTTTGTCGGATATATTTGTAACCATCTCATTAATTTTTATGCATGACGTACTCTTAAACTAAATTTTATTCATTTTGCCATGAGAATTTGTTTGTACTTTAGTATGTACATATGCAACGGCAGCAAACCTAATGCCATTTCCATTGCTGAAACAGGGCAAGTTTGCATTGTAGAAATGTCAATCTCTTTAATTTCTTTAATTTATCAATTTTCTTTTCTAAGGATTTGGCCACCATACTAAAACTCTATAGTGACCATAGTTCTAATCTTAGTTGTATATAACAAGTAGGCTAATTTTATATTTATATCCCATATTTACTACAAAATCTTTGGGCCACACATTTGTATTGTTTTCCACCTCCCTAGAGAAAGCTATATTTTTATTATTATTATTTTTTTTTAAGAGAGTACTTTTTATTATTACTACAATCTATTAATTGATTGATTGTTCAAGATAAATTATTTAAGTGAAAAGTGCCCTGCCATCAAACTTCTAATAAATTAATTGTCTTGTTTTGTGAAAGTAAATTACAAATAACCATTTCTTAAATTTGTTTTGTTTAATTAAACTAATTATTCAAATAGCTAGCATACTCAAATTTCTACAAATGGGAAACTACACTTGCCTGTACAATGAAATTCCACTTTCTCTCAACTCTGCCATGTGTTATTTTCAGTTGTAGGTTTAAGTTTGTAATTATCTGCTTTCCCTGGCATTCTTTTATCATCGAAATCAGAACTGCCTCTTAACTTACCTGCTACTAACTTCGTCACTGTACTCTACACATCAAAAAACAGCATTAACTTGAAAAGTAGTCTAGCGAACTGTAAGCCAGAATCTAAACTGTCTAACATTCCATCAAATATATTTATAAATCAACACAAAAAGATAATTTGCAACAGAAAAGCAAACAAGATTGGAAAGTCAGTGAAAGGAACAATTTTGGCATTAATTTGACATCGGCTTATTTTTTAACAAATTGAATTAACTATAAATTTAAAGTGGGTTGTAATTTACTACAAAAAAAAGATTATTTCTCTTCATACTTATATTTTCTTTTTATTAAGCAATTTAACATCGTTTATAAAATTCACATAACAATATTTGTAAATTAAATAATCAATTATTTATTTGTTGGTTAATATCAGACAACATTCCATGTGGTTTTTTTTTTAATAATAAACTAAAAACGTTAACATTTACTCTGGACATTTTGGGAATTTACACCCAACATCAGCAATCTTTTATAGTATTAGATTAATAATTTACTATATTCATATTGTATTTTAAGAGGTATGGCAATTTTGCATTGATGGATGCAGACGGAAGAAGGTTGGAAGTAAATGTTAATAAATAATATTTTTACTTTATTGTTTAAAAAAACACACATAGAAATGTTGTCTAGTATTAACCAACAAATTTGGATAAAAAGATTAATCTTAATAATTCCATATTTAAAAAAAAAGTTCATTGTATTAAACCTGCTGAACTTGTGTAATAAGATTTTATATCTAGAAAATGTTACTTTGTTTAAACAATTGCCAGGTCATGACAGAATTTTGTTTATTTATTGCCAAATGATTATCTTGTTAATCTAAAAGGACTTTTATCCATTAGCCAATGTTTGTGTCAATATTTATGATATGTCATATTTAAGTTCAAGGTTTAAAACCAGTTTTTTTAAAACAAAAATATCATGACTATAATAACAACATTCTAGTGACATTTATAGGTAGAATTAGTAAACACATAATTACAAATTGCTCAAGTACCGTCCCCAAGCTGGAAAATTGGTCGACGCCTCCCTGGCTCCTACCAGGAACAAACTTGCAGTACTTCAGGTCATGTACATTGGCGCATCTCTGTTGAGCTAAATGGACAGTGGGTATGGCCTGCGCCATGGAAGCTTTCACTTTGTGGCCACTATTGCAACACTGCAATGTGTACACGACGGAGTCGTATGTGATTTAGCATACACTTGGGGTTATTCGAGACGTTAGAGGCTCGGCCTAACTGTTTCAGCTATCCTTGGCAGATTCTCAGTGGGCTCTCTTGCCGTACTCTAGTTAGAGAAATATGACAAGCTGGAGCACCTCAGTAAATGGTGGTATCATTTAGATACCCGACACAGGCTGGAGGGCAACAAACCACCGCAATTCGGCATTCAAGTAGTAAAGAATTATGGGGGGGCCATGGTAGTTGAGTGATTAAGGTGTCAGACTCTCGGCTAGTAGATCCCGCTGTTGTGGATTCGATCCCCACTGTCACCTCTGGACTTTTTTTAACGCTTAAGGGGACCGGTGTGCGCAATTGAAAGAAATTGACAAGGAACTCATCAATGGAAGGTCTGGGGCGGGATCGGATCTCAGACCCTGAATTTGGTCCCAACCTCCAAGTTTCTTCGATGGAAGAATGCTGGCACGCAGGATGCTCAATTCAAATGCGTGTTGCGAGTTACCAAAAATAGAGCCAAGAATAAAGTACAATAAGCTGTCCAGCTGTAGTGCTCAGGAAGACCTCCTCCAGTTCCTGGTATCCATTGTATTAAGAAACAATAAATAAATAAATAAACTGTGGCAGTATCAGTGGGGCAGATCATCCGAGAAGCTCTTGTGTGTCAAGAGTATGACTAAGTGGTGATTGATCTGAAACGCAAGGAAGGGATCGTCCTCACATGTTTGAAGATAAGCAATTGACACACATACACCTGCTTATAGAGTAAATCCCATGCAGGTGTCTCGATAGTAGAGAAAGGTAACTCAGAGGGTCACACATAGTAGAGGAGGGTGATGCCTTGGCTCCTTATAGGGAGTGAGTAGCCATGGCACCTTACATAAAGACAGTTTGAGCATGAGAGAGGGTTGTTAGGTCTCCATAAGTTTTTTAAATGAAAACTGGAGTGTTTCCCCATATTTTATTTGTAAATATTATGTAGCTGTACAGTTTGTATGTGTATAGTTATTTGTTTTGGGTAAGTGAGTAAGTTCGAGGGCCGATGGTGGAATAAAAAGTACCCCAGTTTATTGGGGGCTGGTCTCCATTGTCGGTAACTCGCTATTTTAAATAATTATGCAAACTAAATCTAACAATGAAATGATAGTAGATTAATCATAATTATTGATTTATTTATTATTGGTATGATATTTTGTTTGTGCAAAAATAGGTCCAAAGATGAATTTGAAAACCTAAGTGGGCATTTATTGCGAGACTGTGATACATATTCAATCGTCAATTTTATTCAAATTAAAACTGGAGAACTGCTCCAGAAATTGAACCTGATCGTCATCCAAAGCACCAACCATGTTGCAAAATGTCAGGTAATTTAAAATTTAACAAATTTCTTGGAATAGTAAATTTTACAAATTAATCCGTTTCAGTTGTGCCAAGGGCGAGGTTTCATGTGCGAGATCTGCCCCTTCAAGGATGTCATATATCCTTGGCAGCTGGGAAAGGTTTCCCGTTGTTCGAAGTGCGGCTCGTGTCACCATATCATTTGCCTCAGAAAAGCGGTGAGTTGCCCGAAGTGCACACGTTTGGCTCACCGCGGGCTTACAGTTAGCTAGCGACCGTTTTGCCTTGTCTATCAATCATTTGATAGCTAGGCAGTTAAAAAAAAATAAACTTATAGTATTTTTCCAATCATCATCTTAATATAATTATAACAGTTTAATACAACAATCAATTAAATTTTATTGTGATTTTTTTAACGTATTGTATTAATTATTGTTGTTACATTTTTAAGACTGATACAATTTTGTTATTTATTAAACTAAATACTCCACGTGCACACAAAATACTTTTAAAATATAAGAAAAGTACCTTTGTTTGTGTATATGTGTGTACATAATATATAAATTCTTAATTTGTAAAAGAAAAAGTTGCCACAAAGATTTATAGGCTATTATGTAACAATTTTACCCTAGTTGTAACATTTTAAATTATAAATTAAAATAGACAATGACCTCTGAATAGAGAATTTATTGTAAAAGAACCGAAATAATAATTTAGAAAATTATGGAAAGAAAGCCATGTTTTGAGACAATCGCAAGTGTGTTTTAATCTGGAGCACTTTAACTTACAGATTTCTTTAAATATAGTACATTTAAAAATAGGTTAGCCTTTCTCTCCTTCGGTTTGCATTATGTGATAAATGAAAATTAAGTATTGAAACGAGACCTTCTGTTTAAAAAGCCAATAAAAAATGGAATTGGAAGGTGAATATATAAAATTGACATATTATGATGGCCAGTATTATTCACAAAACATATTATATATTCTGGACGTAATGCTCAATGTTCTATTTATAAAATGTCTATTTTTTTGAAACGCTGTACAGTTTATTATAGTAAAAATTAAAACTAAAATCAATATGATAGTGTTAACTAATTGTGATATAGACTTATACAATTATGTTTCATTAATCTGAATATCTTCCGAGGCAAATTTGTCAAAACAAAATCCTACTTGTAGAGCTTAAAGATCTACACGATAGTGTAATATAGTAGTTCATTTAAAAAATAAAATTAGTACTAACATGCTTCAAACTAAGTTCATAAAAATAATATTACTTATCTAATATCCAAATTATGCTTAACGTAAACAGGTAGAAAATACATGAAAGTTTTTTTTTTTTTTTGTAAACAATCATATCATTTAAAAAAAACAAACTTTAGAGTAATATTCTAGCTCAATTGGCCACTGTAGAAATAGCCGTCCATCAGAATTGTTAGACTTCAATTCTATGTTTGGTATTATTTATAAATATGTTATACAGGAATATAACTATGAATTAAATGTAACTTGACTAATAAACGATTTATAAAATTGTTTAAATTGTGTTTTGCAAAGCTTTGTCTTCAAGACATTGCCAAAGAAAATGATATACTTGATAAATATTAATGTGATATAAATATATTTTAATTTTCTAAAATAACACAAACTTGTTTTTTATTAATCCTATTCGACATCCAATTTTATGACCGCATATTTTTGGCAGTCGTATGCATTTAGCCATTCTGCTATATCTAGAGTAATGCTAAAGATAGCAAAATGCATCTCACAGAAAACAACACATTTTTCTATTTTAAAAAGAGAAGTCAATAAGAAAATGAAATAATGCTGAAGAATGATTAATTTCTTTGCACATGATTAGGTTCATAGAAAATTGAATATGAAAAAGGTATTTGTTTCTGTTATAATGATATATTTTTAGCAACAACCTATGAATATTGTCTTTCCACTTTGAAGAATTTTCCCAAGAAGGAGAAAAGTACAAATTATAATCCTTAAAAATGTTCTGCCATTGAGAGAAACATGATAGCTCACTCTCGATAATTGCTATAGCTGATCCCTAAAAAGTTGTGCAACCATAGAACAAAGAGATCTTAAAACAAAATGAAAGTGAAGTTTAAGGATATGAATAAAAAGATCTCAAGAGGTTTCCTTCCAGATACAATAAATAGAAGTATATTAGTACAGTAAATAAGAGCTGAAGGCAGAGAAAATAGTTTCAGGATAAAAAAAAAACACTGAACTTTTTCAATTGACTCAAACTTTTGCCATCACCAAACTGGGCAGCCATAACATGGAACGGCAAACAGCATCAAATAAATTGAATTTTAATTTTATTGTAATGACATCATTTTACATATGTGACAACCAAGTTCAGTTTATTGCCATTTTTTGCAGTGAATGTTTTCAGAGCAACTTAGTTTCAGTGTAAGTCATAAGTGTAAGTGTCGCACCTTGATCCATTTGCCCTCAAATGACCAACGCTCTGAAGAACTCAATTTTTCTCCTCCCCTGAATACCACAATCTATGATTTATTTACATTGACAATCAAATTCCATTGTTTGGCAGTATGACTCAAACAATTTGACATTTCTTTGAAAGAACACAGGCCACAATAACAATATTGTCAGCATATACTTTAATTAGCCTTTTTTTAATTATAATACCACACTGTAATAATTGTAAAACTAATCTAATTGAGGGTCAATGGGTTACAAAATATTTCGTCATCAGCCCTCTCACACTACACATTCATGCTAATAAATACATTCACTCTCAACACATTCAAAAAATAGGAACAGGAAATACTCTTTGCAACTCAAGCACAATTCTCACACCGGGTAGCTTTTGTACATGCTCTCTATATGGAACCAAGGAACTACACCCTTTAATTAAATGGGACACATCAAGCAACCTTTCTCGACATGCTGGACACGTATGCAGGCATGGCTCAAAAGTAAGTGTTCAAGTGCCAACCTCGCATGGCATATTATTAATCAGGTGAAAATGATTCCTCTTCTACAAGTCAGATCCTCCGAGGATCACCTATCACCATGCTCCTGTTACATGATACCCCTTAGAACAGTAGATCCAGTTAGGTTAGTTAATATTATGAAGATGATAATGCCGCATTTTAATTATAAATTCACCAGCTCCTGATTTTCTCATAATCTTTGATCCATGGTCGATCCTACACTCAACAATTATAATTATGGTTTGAAAGAATCTACCCTGTATGAATATATTTATTGGCCTGAATGATAGAAGGACATTGATGTTTTTAATGTTGGAGAGCTGGATCGTGTGGTTAAATTTAAAGGTTGGGACATCCCAGCCTTACCCACCTTTCTTCTATAGTTATGTTGTACGTCCCAAAGTATTTTCTCCCTCGCAAAATGTAACACTACGTTCAGTTAATAGTGTGCTGAGGTCTATGCTATCTTTTCGCAGAATTTGCATGTACAATGCTGTTAAATGCTGATCTTTCTTAAGTGCCCATTCAGTCTTCAGTACCCTGTTAGGATTCAGTTCCTATCTTCCTGATTTCTTTGATGTATTCTGTAGTCCCTTCCTTTCAAAAGTTCACCAGGAAGTCAGTAAGTAATTGTTACAAAGAGGTTGGTAGGCATGTCCTTTTAAAATTTTCAGTTCACTTTCTTGAAGGCCTAGTTGGGGTGTTCCGTTGTTTAATGTCGGCTTTAATTTCACATAGTTAATTTTACAGAGTGTTAATCTATTCATGTTGCCATTTTTTGTTTATTTCATACATGCGACAAATCAATAAATTCATAGAATTCCCAATTTATTTTGTGACTCTCTCTGCGAGCACTTTTCACTACTTTATCAGCTTTTACATTACCAGATATGTGTAATTCTTAATGACCGTTAATTAATTATTATTTAGAGATCGTGAGATGCGGTCTGGCGTGATGTAGAATTTAGAAAATACATTTTCTTTATCGTGCCGTTTCGATCTTTAACATATGAAACCTACATCAGACCACACATATCATGATCTCTAAACAATCATTACCAGATATCTTGAAATGTCTTTGTTTCCACATGAAAGTTACCTTTATTGTTATTCAGATATCGTGAGATGCCGTCGGGAGTGATGTAGGTTTCAGAAAAACATTTTCTTTATCGTGCCAACGTTTCGATCTTTTATTGAGATCATCTTCAGGGCCTGGGATTTACAAACAATGTTTACATTTAACAAATACATTTAGGATGTGGATAAGTGAATTTATACAATGCAAAATATATTTTATATTCAAACAAAGTATTTCTACTCACTCAAAGTGTTTGTCTTCTGTGTAAGTGTGCCATCCTTGTGTGTCGTGTTGAGAGTGCCAGTGAGATTTTGCTGTTTCATTGTGTTACCTTTATTTTTCTGACTTTTCTCTTTTTTTACGAGGGTATTTCAACTACGAGGTTATATGAACCCTCAAGGTGCTGATATTTTTGAAAAAACCCATTTTGTATGCAGGTTCGAATTCTGAGCCGCTGGATTCGTTCCCAAGACCTTTACCTTACAGCAATGAGTGCCGTGTCAACGCCAAAACCATTGCGACCACTGAAGCCCCTTGTTTTTTCTCTGACTAAATAGAATCATACCAAATTAAAACGATATTGATATTCAAACTAAACATACAAAATGTGGCATTTATTTTATATTAAATTTACTTTTCAGTGCTGGAGTGTTAAATGTCGGTTCAAAATAATAAAATTTAATTATTACTTTCTACAAAAATGTCATAAGGTTGATTAAAAGAAAAAAATAGTACACTTGATTAAAATACTTGCAATTTATTTATTTTTGACAAAAGAAAAACTTTTAAGCATGATAAAGTGGCAACACGATTGATTTATGCCATTGACATGATAAAAACAAAATTTATCACATTTGAAAACAAAGAAATATATATATTTATATAACAAAACCTCCGTATCAATATTTTATTTATTTTTACAAAATTTAGACTTAGATTTAATGACCTAAGGGAAAGAGAGAATAAACTTATTTAGTTATTGCTAAGTGCTTTATAATTAAACAAAACTGAAATAACATTTATTTTAATGTTTTATATTTGACTCATCCTTACTACCCTACAACATATACTGTGGAGTTATTCATATACATATACAATCAAAGTTTCAGGGGCTATTGAGGCATTGGCAAACTTACTTAAACGAACATAAGCCACCTTACTGCTAAGTTTATTATTACTTATTAAACAATATCACACTTTTGACTTATAAAAAATTACTTCCATATAAAAGTTGATTCAAATTATTGAAATTTACAATTTGCTTTTCTCAAAGCTCTTTTTTTTAAATACACTTGTCAGTTAAAGTTAGAAGTTTACATTAGTAAATCATTTTCTGCATATAAACTTAGGAATTTATTTATTAACAAAGTCAATTTGTTCTTCATGAATCACAACTATTTCTACATATTTATAAATATTTGGCAAATTAGAAATTTGGAATTATTTAAAAAACGTTTACTTTTTTTTTAAATTAGGATAACAATTAGTCCGGCTCAGCGTTGTTACAAATAGTGTGCTCATACTTAAATCTTTCTGATATATTGCCGTTGAGGATTAAACCATTCTGATACGGTCGGGGATCCTGAAAATTTTGAGGGATTTTGAGAGTCTGTAGATCTTTTTACACCTATTATACATTAAGGTAAATAGTCTAAACAAAAGACTAATATTTCAAGATCTTAAGACATCTAAAACAGAACAGTACAAGAGTATTTTTTTTTTATTACTACTCCCATTTGTTATTTGGTTTCTGTTATATATCTAACACACTTAAGTTATCATAGACGAAATAGAAATTCTTTCTACACTTAGAATTGTTTATTTGTTTAAAAAAACACACATTTTATTTTTTAAACTGTTAACAATTCTCATTTCGTATTTTTAAAAAAATGTATATCTATCTATATATATAGTTGAATGAAAAACAACACAATACGCCTGTACAAATTTCACACTTTTAAAGGAGCTGATGTTTCTAATAGAAAATGCTTCAAATTTACAGGTGAAAAAGATTCTACTGGCAAATGTATGTATTAATGCATTTTTTTTTTTTTTTAATTATCTCGTTTTGAACCTGTTTTGTAATACGAATTAATAAAGCACACACTGTTTTTGGCAACTATCTAAACATCGATTGGACAATTTATTAATGCCAAACTGAATTTTATCTAATTAAAACGAGACATTCCGCCGGTATTGTTTAAGTTCAATTTATATACGCAGTACCCTTCAACTAATCAGTTCAACTATTACAATTTTTTTAAATGCAATATACATCTAATCGACGCTGAGAGACCAATTTCTCATTTATTTCAACATTAAATAAAAGAAGAAAACTAAATTATATAACATCTCATCCCTTTACCATTAAACGAAAGTGGAATTAACCATAACTTTCCTCTTTTCTAAACGATCAATAAGTCCTGTGATATTTTTACATTTGTCTTAATGCTTTACAAGTTGCCTTGATTTATGAGCACATGAAGGGAAAAAAATGTTCAACGAAATTATAAAAAAGAACAATTTAAATACAAATCATAACATAAATATCTATTAAAATTCACAATTTATTAAAGTAAAAAAGGAACTTTAAATTAAGTTAGTGTGTGTTAATTTTAAATGGGTTAACAATCGTTTTAAAAATTTATTAATGTGAATTAAAGTTTACCTATGAAAACTGAGAATATTAGGAATAAGCATAACTTTACAACTAAAATACAAACTTTTTTTGTACACTTTGGTATTCACATATATGAATCAATCCAAACCGCTCCTCTGGGTATTCAGCCTATAATTTTGTTCATTATATATAAAAATTAAAATTACTATGTGAAAGTATTTTATTATTAATAGAGGAGTGGATTTGAAAAATTAATGACAAAATATAATTGAGAACATAGAAAAAAAAAGATAAAACATTGGCGACTAACAAAAAAACCACTAATCTTTTATTTACAAAAACCAAGCTAAATATGACTTTAAAAAGAAGAAATAAACTAGAAATAAATAAATATTGGTCAAGGTTTCTGTTTGACTAATTAAGATTACGAAAGAAAATAATTTTGGTTTTTTTTGCCTTTTTTTTTTTTTTTAAATTTATTAACATCAAAAATTTCATATAGAAATTCTGGAAAGAAATTGAAATAAATACTTCTTTTTTTGTTTAATGAGATTAAAGAAATTGATAATACACTTGCCAGTCTTTTATATATTATATTAATTACAACTCTTTCTTTAACAAAGGAAAATTGTGAATTAAAAATTCATCTTTTTTTTTAGTTTTTTGTTTTTCTGAGCCGTATTATGTCCAAAATTGAGGAGTACATTGTTACTTCAGTCTTCTGAACTGCCGTCATCTTCAATTCCGTTCCTCGAGTTTTTTCGGTCAAGGACCATTAGCTCATCTTTTGTCCTCTCTTTCCTGAATTCGTACACGAGGGGATAGATCGCTTCTATTGCCCTTTGGACATCACTAACACTAGGAGCTGGAAGGGAAAACATTTCTTAACCCAACGGCTACCGTCTAATATGGAAAGAAAATTTAGATTTGAATGTCAACTTACCTGTCACTGTAATACTGCCTGTAGAAAATATCTTCAGTGTGGCTCTAAGGTGCTTTAACTTATATGTTACACCTGGATGAAGTTCAGGTTCATAGCTTTAAAAAAAAAGAACATTTATTATATGATCATTACAGACTTTTTCTAGAGGGATGATGTAAAATAATACTGTTGAGATAACTTGTAGGGGAAAATAGTTGCTGCCAGAATATAAATAAATATTAGATAAATTTATATCAATGTATGAAATAGTACCTCATAAAAAAATGTTTCTATCATTTCTAAGTTGTAAAAGTGTTAGATTAGAAATAAAGAGATTAATATTGCAGTTGTATTTTAGAAATGAGATATTATTTATCAAATTCCTTTTAAGATTAAAATAATACTATCTCTCAACTAAATATAGTGATGGGATAAAAAAATATTTTGTGCATATGCTTACTCTGCCTCACGATGGCATTCGGAAAAATTAGTTATTTTGATGGCAAATGGCATTGAGCATGTACCGAGTACGTTTACAACTCGATAGTTCGTAAATCTGACGTTGTACCCAAGCTTCTGGAGTATTCGGGCAAACCTCCTGGCTGCCACTCTGGAAGACTCTTCTGAAGTTGCACCAGTGCAAGTCACTTTGCCAGAAGACCACATTGAAGCTGTGGTGTAAGGTTTTCTAAGTTTCATCGTCAACATCTGAAAAAGAACAAAATGAACATTTCAATCTTTCCATTTATCTCCAAACTAAATATAATTTTTTAAAAAATATTTTGTTTAAAATCTCGCATTCAGAGCGATAATCATACCATATCATAGGCAGGCCCAAAAATTAACTTAAAAAAAAGTCTAAATTTCAATAGTTAATATTTTATGCAAAAGCCAGAAATTACAAATATTTTATGGACCTCCAGTGAACAAACGAAATAAAAAGGCTAGTCCTTTTTCCTGTCCTTAAACCGACTCAATTGACTCGTATAGACATCTATGAAACTTCATGAAGATCAAAATCTGTCAAGAAGTTGATTGACCTATTTTTTTGATAAATATAAAATCTGCCTATCCTCAAAGGATCAAACCAGCACGGATAAATATTATATTTACACCAACAAATGAATCATTGCTGAAGAAATTTAACAAAATAAAAAAGAGAGGAGAAAGAGAAAGAGAGAGAGAAAATAAATAAAAAAAATTTTCACTTGTTAAAATTTTATTTGTTTATTAATAATAATCACAAAAGTTTAAGAATGGTGCACTGCTTCCTATTGCTGTTTTTAAGATACAAGGTAAATAATAAATTTCAATGGCATTAAAAGACATAAACAAATTACTGGGCCACGGAGTATGATAAAAAATCACAAGTTAAATAGGAAGTTTTAAATTTTATGACCCAAATAAACTGTATATTAATAAAACAACAAACAGTTGCAAATAACTAAACAGATTTTTTTTAAAGACTTAAATAAACAGTTCTTTATCAGCGTGTAGAGGTTGAATGAACTTTTGATGTAATATGACCCTCAAAATCACTGTGTAGTAAATTCCCCAAAATAAAAAATGTTCCGTTTATTCTCAGTGACAAAAAAAATTAATTAACAAAGCATTTTCAGACTGTTTGTTACAACAGAAATTATCAGCAGTACAAATCAGAATGATTGATATAGATGGTTGATTGGATCTGAATTAATTTTACTCCCTCATTATGTGTCCGATTGTATGTAATTTTTATGTAAAATAAACCATATTAAGGACAACATGTTTATAAAAACAGTCTAAACAAAGAAAAACAACTCAAAAGGATTATTTACAGATAGGAAATATTTATAGATAGTAGGCAACAATCAGATAACAAAAAGGTAAGAATGGAAGCTACTGAGTTGAGGAGGCTGAATGAATATTTCTTTTATTTATAATTTTATATTAAAAGACAACCAGGGTTGCGACCATCTCTTATAAATAAATTACAACCCTTGAAATGGCAAACTACCTAAGTTGAAAATGTCTAGGCCATTTTTCATCTTGCATAATTGATCCATTTATCATCAATTTATAAAGCATATTTTAATTATTTTCATAAACGAATCTCAGTACAGTGTGTATGATTGCTTTCTTAATGCTTAGATTTGTTATAAACTTTAATTTAGAAATAGTAGAAATGATGGGCAAGTCCTTGCTAAAAAGCATAGTTTGGTGTTTTACGTCCTCAAGGGTTAAGGAGGAATAAGTTTTATTTGTTAGTCTAAGAAAAGGGCAAACAACAGAAAACTGGCTATAGAGGGTTGTAAAAACTTAAGATCAGGACAAGAGATCAAATTCTGCTTGTAAGCCTTTTTCAGGCATCTTCCATTGCTTATACTTTGTACAAATTGCTCATACAGAATATGTTAAAGAGGAAACTAAAAACTGGCTAAGTTCTGGACCATTCCCAAGGTCAAAAACCAAGGTTACTATTGGGATGCAAAGGCTAAACCTCACAATACAAATTATCACCCAAGCTCAGTTTTTAGGCTTAATTTTAGTTAGTAAAAGTAAAGTAATTCCTGATATACAGGAGGACTTAACACTCAACTACCAGTCCGATCATGGACAAGTGGTCAGAACAATTTTACAACACTTTTTCTTTCCTTCAAATTGTTCTCAAATAAAGTAAAAGTCAATGCCAAGTTTAAACTAAGATCCACTAATGTGATGCCCTATAATCCGGCCACCGAGGTTCCTTTATTTAATATTAATTTGTTGATGTCATCAGGAGAGGAATGAAGTATTTTAGAAAAACACTTTTTCTTTTTTTGCAGTTTCGACCTTTAGTCGTGTCATTTTCAGGGCATAAAGGGTGGTGCTATTCTTGTGATGTGATCTCAAGATAGAGAGAGATGAGATCACAATAATTTCACACGAAACAAATATAACACCACTCTTTATGCCCTGAAGATAACCTGAATAAAGGTCAAAACATCGGGAAAAAAATTAAATTAAATTAAATTAAAAATGGGTTTTTTCCTAAAATACTTCATTCCTGACCTCAAAATTTCAAAAAATTATTGAACAATTGGTCGCTAAAAAGCACACACTTAACATTAAGTCAGTACACTTACTTAATTTATAGAACTTTACAAATCTTATACCACATAACCAGAAAAAGTTTGGTGGGTTTTCATTTGTTATTGTTTTAACACGGTTAATCACATTTCTATTTACATAGAAGGATTAGGAGTTTACATCATGTAATACCAGGGGGATGTGTCAGTTTGTAAAGAAAAACTGTCTCGAACAGTTCTCTGTAAATTTTTTCCCATGGCTTCAAAACCCATAATTCATTGCCGTGTTCATTGTATAAATTTAAGCTCAGTATTAGGGCGACTGAGGCGGCTCGGTGAATTTGCAAACTGTTCTGTGATGAAACGATAATTGAGTGCACTGTCCAAAAGTGATTTAAACCAAATTGTTTCTGGAAATGAGAGGTTTTAAGACGAACCACGGTGCGGTAGAAGAATGTAAAGAGCTCACCACGGTTTTCAACCCAACTGATGAAACTGTTCACTCTGGCTTACATTGACTTCACAGATGCAAGCAAGTAAATGGGTTCCTCATAAATTGACCGATGGTAACAAGCTTCAGCATCCAAACATTTGCCTCATTGCTTTCAAAACACAAAGGACATTTTTTGACCAGATTGTTACCTGCGACAAAAAATGGTTCCTGTTCAGTAAAGAACTTTTCAGTTTGATAATTGACCCCTTGACCAATTGTTGCAAAAACTTAATGTTCACCAACAAATGGTAATGCTTTGGTAAAATACGATTTACTACTTTTTTAACCATTTTTTGGCAGTGACATCAAACAATTTCTTGGCATCATCATCGATCACACTGCATATTCAATGAGGTGCCTTGACCGTTCTAGTGCCAAGCTTAAATTTATACAATAAGCGCGCACAAATTCTGCGTTTTCAAACAATGAGAACGAAAATATTTTAAAATTTACTGTGAACTGTTTCCTGAACTGGCACATTATCCTCTTGGTATTACGTTACATAAACACCTAACCATCCTAAGTAAGGGAACCGCAGTAGCTGAATGGTCAGTGGGAAAGACTCTTGCTCTAGACCCTCCCCCATCAGGGGATCAATTCCCGTCAACCCCTGGCCCTTTTTTTATACCCCCCCTCCCCCCAAAGAAAAATATGCATCACACATGAGGTATGCCTTGGCTAATATGCAAATTAAAAAAAAAATCAACCTAGGCAAATAGAAATGCTATTAACCATACTAAAACAATAAATGAAAAACCCATTAACTTGTGTGGTCACCTGGCATGAATGGGTAATATAAAATATGCTCACAGTGAGATGATGGGTAGGAAATAAATTGCCTTTTCCACAATGGGGATCCTATTTGAAAAAGACAATTTATTTCCTACCCATTAACTTATTATAGAGGTCCATAAAATAAGGATGGTCAAATCAAAAAATACTCGCAATATCCCAGATCTAAAATTGCTGGGGGGAAAATTATATCCTATCAATTATGCTACTTTGTTTCAAGTAATCTCTAATTTTTAATTTAGTACAGTTTAGAGTATATTTCTTGTTTTATATGTTCTACCAAATTACATTAAAAATTGATGAAAAAAATTCATCAATTCTTAAACTGCTCAACAAGTAAAATCCCATGATACAAATGATTATAAAAGCTTCAATTTTTAGGTTTAATTTAAAATTAATAAGTAAAAATAAAGTAATTCCTGTAATACAGGAGGATTTTTTTTTTTGCTTTGCTTTGATGCATACGGCCAGTGTCCCATGTTGCCAGTGACACCACCCACCCAACCCGCACGAGCCGACAAAGCCACTCCCGGGAAGAGGCTGAGAGCGCCCCCTTTAGACTTATTTTTTGACATTTGGTAACTCCGTCCTCTCATACAGATACAGTGGGAGAATATAGATAAAACCCACTTACATCGCGTTACAGCACTGTGGAAAAATCCACATCCTCCCTGCAACCCAACAGGAGGGCTTTACTTCCAATTACCATCAGTCCGATCGAGGATAAGGGGTCAGAATAATTTTTCATTAATTTTTCTCCCTTCAAATTGTTCACAAATAAAAGCCCAACTCTATGTTGAGAACTGAGATCCACTAATGTGATATCCTAATAACTCAGCCACCAACATTAAGCCTAAGTTACATTTAAGCATTTTACAAGCCATGTATGAAAGGCTAATATTAAAAAATTTGTAGTTCGATTGTTCCCAATCATCCTGGTCTGTCAAGCAGGTTCGGTATGTCTGATGCACAGAGTTTTGAAGGTATGGAGACCAGAATCATCGGAGCGTGTTCTTCATTTTTCAAAATATCTGGCAAAAAAAATCTTTAGTGTTTTGATTGGGTTTTTTTTCAGGGTGTTATCCTCTTATGATTGTTACTTAGAATGAAAAATTCCAATGCAGAGAATAAGAGCACTTTTAATTCTACACCCTCAGGGATGAACTGGATAAGTCCAATTTTGACCAAAATAAGAGTGCAGAAAGTACATATTTCAGTCAAGACATTAGGCTTGAGAGACGGTATAATTGATTTAAAACCACTGCCTTTTAAATGCATCTTTTTTTGACACCTTGTAACATTTTGATAAATCTACTCGTACAAAATCCTGATTTTTTTCAACAACCAGAGGATGCAGAATTGTAAACTTCCATTGAGAGGGGCACGAAAGTCAACCAACTGCTTCAATGGCTGTGTATTGCTCAGTGTGTATGAGAGGCGAATCAGAACCAACGAAGAGGTTGGCCTTGGTCGAAGTTTGAACTTCTGGCAGTAACATCAAAAGGGTTTACATTGACTGCGATTCCACATGGCCGATGCCCTTGGTTTGGTGAGGATGAGACAATGCTTTGGCAACTAACATTCAGCCCAATATATTGGTTGTTTTCCGCTGGCCAAGATTTGCTTAGTGTGTTTAGATTTTACAAGGTCCAGGTCAAATCCATCTAGAACAGGGAGCTGTCTCATTAAGTCATGTTGTCTTTCTTGTAATGTTGTATGTGTAAAATTTTATATTTTAATGAGTGTGTAGGCTCAGTACTGGCTGAAATTGAGGTTATTTAATGAAATGTAAGGAGATGGTGGCCATCAAACACTTGTGCTGAAAAGTTGTAACTGAATGTATACGTACCCCATTCTCTCTCCGGTACTCGACATGGCATCCGCTTAACGCAATCTGCCTAAGGTTCAAATGACACCGGACACTAAAACTACAAACTACATTGTTTATAACAATGTCAATCTCTGGTTCTTCCTGTTCAATGATGCATTCGTTGTCAGCCACTTGAATCTGATGTTCGTGCCCTACGCTTCCGATTTGGTCCATTTCAAGATGACCAAGGGACCCGTTTTGCAATGGTTTCATTCCGTTTCCTTGGACTACAGCAGCCATCACCTGAATGAGAAAAGGGGAAAAGTTCAAAACGTGATCAATTGACATAAAACGATAAATGAAGGTTATTAATTTCAGGGGGTCGGCGTTCGGCTGAAAAAACGCCAAACGTCAAAAGCGAGCTGGGCCCGGTCAAATCGGACTTTTCCCCGTCTTCGAGTCGGCAAAAAAGGCCGGACCGACACGGGTTTACCTCGCGGATATTTCTATTTTAAGTTTTAATAACTACGTACGAAATTCATTTCCAAGATTCTTTTCTCATCGTGCCCTTTTTAGCCGATCCCAGTTCCATTCAATGGTGGATGAGCGGGTCACTCGGGAAAGGCGACATTTCGACAGAATCGCCTTTAAAAACACGGTGGTCGCGATCAGCAAGGGAAAACTCAATGAGACGGACCCGTTTCTGCGAAATTACTGGATGATCCCGACGAGCCGCCAGAGCAATCTGCTGGTCGTTTCGCCTTCCTGACCCAAAGCCGCCGCCGTCTCGATCGCCGAGCGTTCAACGAGCCGACAACCGATTTGGAACAGTTTCCGCCCGATTCGCCTCAATCTAGTCACTGTGGATGCGAATTCTGACGAAATTTTGGTCTGACGGGAGTCCGAAATCTCGTCAGAACAAGGCGGTTACATTGTGCGCGTTTTCTGATCAGTACGTTTGTTCCTCTCAGCAAAATGGACGAATTTAATGAGTTTTACTTTCTTGAAAGTCCGTTCAATAAGCTATTGTTGACAGGTGGTGGGAAAACAGAACATTTTAAAACTTATTGCTAGTCCCTTAAAAAATTGCTCATTAATCCATGTACATTTAGCGGTCATAATTGACCATATTAGTTAAAATGAAATTTGAAAAATGGCAAAAAGAGGGAAAATTCGAAAGGTTGGAGGTTGAGATGAGTTGGTGTCTGAGGTGATCGAAGTTTCTATAGTTCAAGTGGTTCAAGAGCAGCGGCGTATTGAGCCGAAGGTCGTGGGTTCGAATCCCGCTAGAACTAATTTTTCGTCGCAACCAAAAACCTTAGATAAAAAGAATTATTCATTAGAACAATTAATATGGTCAATTATGACCATTAACCAAATATGGCTTATTGCTAGTGTTGATTTCTTGAGAAACTTTCTTCCACTTTGGCCGAGAAATATCTGTTATGATATTTTTTGTCGTTCATGTCCCACAAACACCAATTCTCAAAAACAAGACTAATCAGTTTATCAATACCCATGGCGAAATACCAAAACTGCCTAAATTCAACGTCAGAACGCAAGAAAAAATCAAACGCTCGAATGGTTCTGACGACAGCCTGCGAGTTCTGACATGCACTTGGCTGGAAAAAGTAAACATAGGAAAAGAAGTATTTGTTTTTTCTGACAAGTTCGTCAGAACAAAATTTCTTCAGAATTCGCATCCATAGAAACCGTAGCCTCATCTGCCACTTTGATCACAATTTAATATTTCCCTCCTTTAAAACTTTAAAAAGATTAAAATGAATAGTATTAAAAAAATAGTTTAGAAAACTCACTATGAAAGTTTTCTTGCCCAAGTAAAATTTTTCTCTTTTTCACAAAAGAAAACCGTCTTTCAAAAAAAATTACAATTTTCAATCAAAGCCGTCATTTGATTAGATTTTTTTTTATAGGCGAAAAACATCAAAAGTTAAGGCTTTTGTACTACCACTGGTTTGTTGGAAATTTATAAAGATTTCTCATTTTTAGACTTTCGAAGACTATCAATTTTTTCCGTTCATTCCCTAACATTTCTTTTACAGTCCAAGAGATTTTGGGGTAATGAACCTAGGCAAAAGGGAGGAAAATTAACTTGATTCTTTAAATGATAGTGTTTGAATGTCACTTTTAAAAAACCCAATTAATCCGATTAACGATTACAGATTAATTTAATCGATTAACGATTAATCTGGTTAAACACAATCTAGTTAATTAATCGTTACACCCCACACTGATTAATTCAATGATTTTTTAAAACTTATTTTCTTTATATACAATTACAATAGTTATATTAAAAAATTGTCCAATTTACCAAAAATATTTTTGCAAAATCATGAAAATAATCTCATCAAATGTTTTTTTTTTAAATAATAATAAATTAAATTATTACAAACTTAATTTATTTAACTTACATTGAAGTATAAAATTTCATTTCGATTTTATTTCCCACCTGGACCGAAAGAAACGCTCGTTCCTCACCATTAGGTTACCTCCTGTTGGTGACTTAACTCAGCAATCAGAGGTTACTGAGATGTTACTCAGTGTTTATAACAATCTATGTAACTTTAACCGTATGCGTATTGTTTTTACCCAACACTGCATTTTTTTATGAAAGAAATGACAGTAGGAGAAATTTTACAGGAAATAGAAAACATCATCACGCCCAATGATGGTAAAAGTTAAAAATTAAAATAAACATGTCATTGGTTTATAAACTTTTAAATTTTAATTAATAACTGTAATCATGAAAATATTAGTTCCTACATGTCATTGATGTTTTATTTTTATTGGCTGTTTGATAAGCCATTAGCTGATTATAGAAAATAATTAAATATTTGAATTGGATGTTGCAATGTGCAAAATGTTCTGTTGGTATAAAACAATTTTAAATGTCATTTTTTATGACAATTAATGAGGTTGAAGGCAGTGGAGAGTTTATTTCAAATGTTATGAATACCTAAAGAAAATTGTCATCGGTGTGATAATTGTTTAATGTTGTCTGCCCATTCTTGCTGTATTTGTAACCTCATACATTCTGGAATTTAACAGTTGATTGAAAATGGTAAATCATTGAAAATTCCTAGCCTCATTGTAACTGCAGAGTACGGAAAGAAAGTAATTGGTCCAAGTTCCTTAACAATTTGAATTGGAACAATTCATACCCATTCTATCAATTATTTAAAAATTGAGAATTGTGAGATGTCCTCCTGTGGTCTGCGCGGTGATGAAACAGTAATTTCATCCTCACTGGTCGTCTTGGTCTGCCTATCCTTGCTGGGTTGGTCTGTCAAATGCGTTTTGACATTTTGCCATTTTAAGAATGTCTAGGTAAATTATTTTTGACTTAAATGGATTACGCAAACTCACTGAAGATAGCAAACTGCCGAAACGCATCTGACAGACCAACCCAACTAACATTAGGTAATGATAATATCTCCCATATTATAGAAGAGTGAGAAGGGGCCGGTGGTGGCCTGAAAATTATTGAGAGTAAAAACTGATGGAACAGTTCAGACAAATAAAGGAGTAATTATTAAGCTAAACACCACCGTACCTTAACACAGAACATATTTTCTGAGTGGGGTCATCAATGTATCTCGTTGACAGTCACAGGGTCGGTTTCGCTTTATCCATTGATGATTGTATGTTGAACGATTGGCACTCTAAGCGCAAAACGGTTGACTAATTTAATTTATACTTGCAATAGTCTTGCTAAGTGGGTTTTACCACTAGTTTGCAACACCCACCAGGTAGTTGGATTTTTAAGCCCTCTGCTTGACAGGAATTGCATTACCTTTTTATTTTTTAAGTTATAAAAAATTATTGAAACTAGCATAATGTTGCTGAACATAATATTGTTAATATTTTCAAACAGATTTATGTCTAAATAAGCTATTCGAGTGTATTATGTCATAGTCTCTTCAAAATATTAAAATAAACATAAATAAAAAAAAATGTTGGAAGTTTTAGGATTACTTTAAATTGATTTTTTTTTCTTTATGAAATGTTTAATTCACTTTTCATAAACATTGTAGAACCAGGAATTTCTCTGGAAGATGTTCTAGTGAGAAAATGTGAAAAATATACAGACAAAGATTGTCCTTTTCTCACCAGTGTGTCTTTGGACGATACTATTACTAATGATAAACGAGCAAGGTACGAGTCAAAATTAAATATTTTTTTCTCAAAATTAAATTGATGATGAATATTTCAGATGGGTTTTTGTACGAGTCCTTCTTGAAAAATTACTCCACTTGAGATCAGCTTTACAACATGCGGATGAGAAAGAACAGCTTATAAGTATTAACCAGAAAAAACACTTGTCATCATCGATAGAAGTAGGTTTGATTGTGTGTTTATACTATTTTAATTTAATGCCTTTAATTTCTTTTAAGATGGCTGTGACGCTAGGCATTGTTGCTCACTTACCAAAAGGTATTGGCATTCCATTGAAACAAAGGTCATCTTCACAGTTGACCCTCTTTCAAGACACGACTGAAAACGAGGTAAAATTTTATGAAATTTCATCTGTAATTTCACTCTTATAAAAACAGTTGTAAATTTTTTTAACAGAAAATTTCAAGTTTGATACTGACCTTATCAACATTGATGGAGCTAAGAAAGGACTCAACAATGCTTACAATTATCACGTCGCAACATTTGGGTGATGTTTTGGCCTGTTTGTTTAGCCTTTTGCTCCCATCGGTTTGGTCTAGGCCAATAGTCGAGGATCAGAGGGTTATTTTTAAGTCTTATCTAAAAGAAATTGTCGAAAAGACATTTCAACCCTACCTCATTAAAGAATTAATGCTTTTGAATGGAAACAAAGTAATTTAATTTTTTCTCTTGTGCCATAAAGTAAACATTTTTGGGTTTTAATTGTTGCTCTTTAATTTGTAGGAATGTCCTCCAAGGTTATCACACGTTATTAGATGCATGATGACAGAAAGACTAATGCTAGAAGGTGGTGTCATTGCTACAATACGAGCTATACTTGACATAACTGGCGATACTGCTCCCACCCAATGGAAAACAGTAAGCAAACTTGAATTACAATGAGAAAAATAATTTTTATTTTATTTCGGTTGGTAGCAATCATTTCGCTCTGCCCATCCTCGTTGATTTGGTCTGCCAGTCGAATTTTGACATTTCAACATCTTTCATGACGGTAACAACAATGAAGGTGGTGAAATGCATCTGCAGACCAAATCAGCAAGGATGTACAGATCAAAATGATCGATAATGATCAAAACTGAAGTTGATTGACAAATCTTATAAATCTTTTTCCATCTGTTGTTTTCTCTATATCATGAGTATCTGCTATTTAGTATGTAGTACTCTTTGCTGGCTCAATTAACCCATCCACACATGGCTATTTGGGCCTAATTTGATATTACTTACATAATTTTATTTACACATTAGTCATATTACAAACAAGAATCTAATTTAAGTCTGGGAGGACTTACGGTATTCAAAATACCATTGAGGACCCACCCTTATAACTAATATAAAATTACAATACAACCAACAGCTCAGTCGTGGGTTCGATTCCCACTGTTGCCTCTGACCTTTTTTTCACAATACCCTTCCCCCCAATACCTATACACATAATAATCATCTTAGACCTTGGCTAATTTGTCCTTTCATCATTCATGTGAATAAATACATTCATACAGTGTCGATCCTTTCATGCCATATTTACAATTAAAAGTGAGGCCTCTAGTTTTAATAGTGGTGACTCACCCACCAGTCACATATTCATAATAACTACTCTAACTGGATCAACAGTTCTATCAGGTAACACACTGTCGATAGGTGGTCCTCAGAGGATATGACTTGTAGAAGCGGGATCATCCTCACCCTATCAAGAAAAGGTCATGCAAGGTTGGCACATGGACTCTTACTTTCGCAGCCAAAGCCCACATATGTGTCTGCCATGTAGAAAAAGGTCCATGTGTCAGGCTTAATTGAAGGGTGCTTTCCTTGGCTCTGTTGGACAGCGTACAGTAATGTCAACTGTTTCGATTCTTGAAAGATACATTTTTTTAAAAATTATGTATAGTACTAATAGTTTTGGGTCTTCTAGTGAGTATTGATGTGAATGTATTTATTGGCCTGAATGTGTAATATGAGAGGGTTGATGGTGGAATATTGAGTACTCCATCTACTCTCAATTAGGCTAGTTATTTAAAGGTGATGGATGAATATTGAATACTCCACCACCCTAACTGAGCAAATAGCATGCACATATACTAATGCATTTATGAGAGAGAGTGTGTGTGTGTGTTTTGATCTAGAAACTGAATGTGTTGTGGGTGAAATGACCTAGCTTGGTGACTGGGCTGATGAGACGGTAAGACAGAGGTCTGTCTTCGTACTGCCAACACCCAGGCATTGATCCTCGAGGCCTGCTGGTAGTTTATTAATTAATTACACAAAAGCTGGACTTGCCGGTGGACTTCAAGAAGTGATAGGTTCAGCTGTACATACGTGGTGTGTATATGCAAGTATGTGCATATCTGAGCTTATAGAAATTATTAATCGAGTTCTGTGGGGTACTCTTAGGTTTGTTCCATTATACAATCACAAACCAGTTGCCAACTAATCCGTGATTTATGACTGCGGATGCCCGAACATTGACTGATCATCGATTCTTAACTCTGATGGGACATTTTATTCCAATCTTTGACTGCGACAGTTTAGCTGGGAATATCAAAACATTTGCATTTGGAAACGGACTTTTTGTTGATATATAAATGGAATTGATCAGTACAAAAGTAAATAAAGGAAGTAAACAAAGTATTATTTACTGTTTATTTGGATTATGATAGCTTCTAATTACCTATAACTAATGTGGAAAGATAATGGATTTAATTTTAAACTAAATAAATTGAGTGGTGTGTTAAATTTGTCCGTCAATGTAATTTTTTTTATTTTTTATTGGCCTTATGATATTGCATATTAGCCATGGTACGAATTCTTGTGTGTTCAAATTGGGGGTTATCGGGAAAAAAGGGCCAGAGGCGACGGTGGGAATCGAACCCACGACCGCGGCGTGAGAGTCTCTCATGCTAACCACTCGGCTACCGTGGTCCCCTCCGTCAATGTAATTATGTAATTAGATATAATTTAATAAAATATTCATTATAGATTACCTCTGTTTTAAGAAGGCTGTTAACATAAAAAAGTATTTATAGTAGCTGTTGCCTTCAATTTAATTTCAGAATCTACATGCACAACTTTATTTGATATTGTTTAAGCGTGAGAAAGCAGTTACCCAAAATGCCCTTTTCATGACTGACATAAATTTGTTGACTATTCCTATAATTTCCATATGGTGGAAAAAAACAAAACAAATTACAAAACAGTGCAAATCAGTGAACACAATTCAGACATTATTTAACACAAAATGTTGCTTTTCTGAAAATAATGGGACACATTTGAGAGGACAGAGTGAACTATTTTAACTAAAGCTGTAGCTTCTGTGGATCCTTTGTTATCATGCTGATGATGGTATATGATAAAGTAATAGAAGAATTCACAGAAAGAACAAATTGATTTTAAAAAAATGAAGGGGTGTGGGGGAAATGAAAATCTAGAAAATATATTTGGAGAGAATAGAAACGAAAAGTTTCCAAATGTTGATCCTACACAAAATACCATGCTGAACAAAAGGCCTTCTAAAAATGAAACGGAAAAGAGTGAAAGAAAAGTAACTGAAAAACAGAAAATAAGCATTTGTAGCCCGGACATATTTCCTAATGACAGATGTAGTAGTGTTGAGGGAATGATTGAAACATGGCGAACTGACAAATGTCAAGAGAATAAAACACAGGAAGAAAAAAAAGATAAGGCAGAAAGCACAGTTGCCGAAAACCCTAATGTCACAAATATGTACAATAACAATTTTTCTGATTGTAAAAATGCTGGAGATATCTTGCCACAAATGTTTTCTCAAAGAAGTTTCATTGACCAACCCATGTTTAAACCTCCTACAAGTAACAATTCTGAATTTGCTGGGTGGGCTCAACATCTTGAATCAAAAAGTGAAAAAGAAGTTTTAAACAGAGAAAACAAGCTTAAAAATCTAAGTTATTCTGTGTGTACAGATAGAAAAAGAAAAGTTGAGGGTGTAACTGACAATAACAAGAATCAAACAGGTTGGTCTTTAGCCTTAAATGAAAAATCAAGAAGATTGTTGCCACACTTGAATCAAACTTGTTCAGAAGGCAAAGGGTATAACGCAAAAGATATTGGGAATTCATCATTTGAAGCGATTCTTGATGAAGTGTACATCTGGTCCAAAAACAGGAATAGTGGTAAGTTATTAAGAAGAGACGTTTCTTTTAAAAACGTTCTAGATGACGTTTATGAATGGTCCAGGGGTAAATTGCTTACCAGGAGCCGGTCTTCGGAAGGTATTAGCATACAGAGTAGTTCTTCTTGTTCAATTCATTATTCTATTCCTAATTGTGATAAATTACGTTCAATGAGACATGCAGATAAACACAAAAAGTGTTGTTGTTCAGGCTTTAAAAACCAAAACATGGTAGAAAACAATAATTGTGCTTTTAAACAAGTCAGATTCTCAACCGAGTGTAATAAAAGATGTTTACAAAGACCTAAAAGTGATGTTAAAATCCGGAATAAATACCAAAACGTTTGCAGCAAGAACTGCAAATTCAGTTCACAAAATATAAAGATGCAAAATAATGTTAATTGTAAACAGAAACTAGATGAAAATAAGGGAAAACCAATATCATACAAGGATACTCTGCTTTCATTGAATAAATGCATTCACTCGGGTTTCAATTTGGCTGCACAAGTCAGTAATGGTGTTCAAAACAAAGAATTGTGGACTAAGTTTTTTGACACAACAAATATGACATCTCAAGAAGCAAAGCGGAGTAAAGGAAAAGGTAAAAATTCATTATTGGGTTATTGTGTGGAATCAAAAAAATCTACTGAGCCGTCATTTTTGGAAATTTTGGCTTGTGGACAAGAAACTCCGGTGTGGGAAAATAGTTCCTCTTCATTGACGTCAACTGTCATTTCGACACCCGATTGTAACCAATATCAAAATAATGTTCTTGAAAAGCACGGATGGAAGAAGTTTCCACTTGAAGAATTGCCACATATTTCTAACGTATGTTCAGACGACACAGAAACACCTATGTGGGCGAGTTGTATGTCAACTTTTGACACAACATTCTCTGAACCTGAATCTGTTCAGATGAAACATTTATGGAATTCCTGCTGTGGGAACAAAATGAACAAACGGGATAGCTCTGTCCAGCAGAAAATGGAAAACCCAGCTGAGGGTAAATGTTCAGACAATTCTGAAAAAAAATACAAGGCACAGGGAAAATTTCTCATTATGAGCCCACAACTGCCAAATGGAGATAATGCACCCTTTGTTAAAATTTGCGTTATGAACAATGTAAATCAAAATACTAAATTAATTGAAGACATTGATTTTGAGATGCAATCGAAGCAGGACCATGATAATTATTTATCGCCTGTCGATACAAAAAAATTCTTTCCATCATTACATCATAATGCTTCTTTAATCTCTTCAAATTCGGGAAAAAATGCTTGGGATATACAAAGTGATAGTTTAAAACCCAATATGAAATGTACCACTAATCCTGCAAATGCTCTTTATAATTCTATGAGGATAGAAGAAGAAGAAGAAGAAAACAGTTTTATAATTGCAGATAAGAATCATCTAGTAAATCAAGATGATCGAAATGCACCCTGTTCTCTGCCTGAATATCTTCCAAGCGATAGTCAAGTAAATTGTCAAAACTTCGAAACGACAAAAAATGCAATACAAGCAATTTGTGCACCTGGTGTCAAGTCAGTTGTAAATAGTACTGAAGAAAAAGAGATCAAATATGCTCTTGGAACACAAAATGGTAGTTTGAACAAAAACTCAATTCAAAACGAAGCAGCTAATAATGGGGATATGAAAAATTATTGTTCCCATTATGATACAACCGTACCTTTGTATAGTATTCTGGAAATATCGAACATAAAATGGGAAACTTATATTGACAATTTCAATCGTGAAAATGACTTGTCTTGTCTGTTGAAGACTATCATTGCTAAATTAAGAGGTTTGATTAAAATAACAGGAGGGAATATTAATTGCTTTTGCACTGGAAATTGCCCTTCAGCAATAACAAATCTTGATCCATCTTTTCTATTAAAAATAATAGAACTTAATAATAATGATGCAAATGAACAGGTTTTCAGCTATAACAGCGGGGTATGCAGTAATAACGATGTTGTTGACAAATCTATTGAGTGTCTCATATTGGTCAATGACAATAAGGACAAATGCACGGAGGACGATAAAGAAGGAAATGTGGGTTTATTTAATCAAAAAGTTGAACTGGTATCAGGAGAAAACGGAATGTGTATACCGAATTATATAGTTAACGCCATAGAAAACTTTGATTGGGAACCATTAATCCCTGGCTTTAACAAGGAAAGTGATTTACCAATGCTTGTAGAAGTAATTGGCTCAAAATTGAATGAAATTTTTGTCTTTTCGGATAATGGTACATCTTGTCTTTGCAATTTGCCGAAAATGGCTTTGGAATTAACTGCTTCACAAATGATTGCTATTATATCAAAGTCTCTAAAGAAAATCCAGAATCTCGATAAAAAAATATTTTATAAAGATTTATCCAAAGTTACTCTAAATTCTGATTGCAACAATAGTAATGTAAATTTAGTTATGAGCAATTTAAGTGAGCAATCAATGAAATCTTATGTTAAGCGTCAAACGTTTTTCAATCAGATAATTTCGTCTATTGACACTGATTTGAAAAATGATCAACATGGGATGAAGAAAGAGCCATCTTGCAACTCAGTGCAAGAGAAGAAAAAACAATCATTTTGTATGTCATATGATTTGTCTTCAAAAGACTCATTGAGGAAAAAACCAAAAGAATTTTCTAGAAAAAAGAAAAGAAAATCAACAAAGATTAAGAGCTTTCAACATGTAAAACATAATAAAAAACCCTCTGAGCAGAAAACAAACAGGAGAAAAAAGAAATCTAAACCTTTTTCTGATGAGCAACGATCATTAGTAGAAATTCCTTGCTATGATATTTGTGATATCGAAGATATAGATTGGGAATGTTATTTACTTGATTTTGATAGGAAAAAGGATATGAAGTTTCTTTTAAGAACAATTCGTTCAAAATTAAAAGGCGTAATTAATATAAGTGGTAATAACAACGAATGTGTTTGTTGTGCTAAACTACCTCCTGCCTTCTGCGAACTTGATCCGTATTACTTATACTATATTATAGAATGCAATGCCAAGCCGATTGAAATACACACTTTGAGCACTATGAGCCTGTGCTCAAAAGAAAACGTGAATCCTCTGGACACACTGAAAGAGCAAGAAGAACGTCTTGAATGTTTAGAAAAGTTGTTACTAAGAAGAATAGTCAAATTGTACGCAGAGAAAAATAATTTAATCGACTTGGAGGCCAGCAATGATTCGGATTCAGATTCAGTTTCAGTTTCAGTTTCAGTTTCAGATTCGTGTTCACAGACAGAAACAGAATTGCATTCAAATTCAAATTTGCAGAATGTCAAGAATTATGCTGGTCAATATTGTGATGATGAAGATGATGGTGATGATGATGATGATGATGATGATGATGATGACCAGAAAATGCAAGTGTATGAAATTTTTAAAGATAAAAAACTAAATAAAAAAGATAAAATCAATGTAAACATGAAACCTGGTGTGATAGCTAAGGAAAACTATAATAAATATTTAAAAAAATCTGATAACATTGACATTCCTCTCAAGAAAGATTTCTTGCAAATAACTAATCATCAATTGTCTGATGCCTCTGAACCAAGTAGAATATGTTTTATCAATGCTCCATACCGAAAGCACAAAAGCTCAAAGATTAATGTTTGTAAAAAAGATAAAGCAAATTACTATTCATACGACTGCCGTGTTACTTCGAAGAACTCTTCACGCAAAGCCCTTCAGAAAACCAAAGCTGGTTTATGTAAAATCAATCCGTTGGAAGTCTCGTCAGGTAAAAAAGTTAAAAATACCGACAATCTTCCTTCTAAGCTCGGATGGTACAAAAGAAAAAACTCAGCCCCAAACTATACTTTTGATGATAATTCTTATAAATGTAATCTTGGAAGTAGTAAAAGAAATCTCATATCAAGACAACTACCAAAAACTGCAAGTAAATATCACTCTCCTTTAAATTTAATTTCCACAGGACAACCTCTTTCCAAGAAACTTGCCAAATCAACTTCAAATTTACAAAATGCAATTACCAAACCTCCTTCAAAAATGGCTGTTAACAGCTCAAATACAGCTGCATATTTTAGAGAAAGGTTGGAATTATTAAAGAAAGAAAAGCCAAAGGATTGTGAAAAAGAAACATGCCCTTTAGCCAACACGTTAAAAATAAAACCGATAATCAGACAGAAATTTAAACTAACTAAAGGAAAGAATTCGAGAATGAAATTTGTGTAAATATTATAAAGGACCCCCACCCCTCCCCCTCTCTTTGTTCAGTGTTTTGTACTTTTTAAATATGTATTTATGTCCTCACTCTTTTAAACTTGTTTTTTGAAAATGTCCTCTCACTGATAAGAGATAGTGTTTTGGAAATGTTGTCCTACTAAGAAGATAAATAAGCAACAGTTTTCACACATATACTTATAGTTTTGTACAGACAAACATAAAATATACATTATTCACCGTTTTTGTGTGTCATTTATCAATTAGTATATAGTAAAATCATCTTTATCAATTTTGGGCCTGATCAACAAAATAGCATGATCATAGAATATAGCCTATATAATTAAAATTATTATTATGCTGACAGAGATAGACAACTTAACAAGCGTTAACATCTAACACAAATTGCTAAATAATATAGTGGACATAATATTTTTTTATGTAAGATTCATTCACTTGTCGGCAGACTGGATATATTTTTCAGAAAAACACTCTGCCACATGAGAACACTGATTTTACTTAACGTATTCACTAATTTTTAGGAAAACAGTATAAACAGAAGAAAAATGAACTGCATAAAATGCATTCCCATTTCTGTTTTTTAACAAAATTCACAAAAATGTGTATGCACATCTAAATTTAGAAATGCTGTGAAATTTGGTAGTAAAATAGTCTAATAATGGCCAAATGTAAATAATTCATCTTGAATTTTATTACACACAACATTTTTGTTGCAGCAAAAAGATTTTGCATTAATTTTTTGTACTCTTTTAGGTTGAAATTTTGGCAAGACTTATAATAAAGCCTCATATAAAAGATGTTGAGGCATATCAATTCAAAGTCTATTCACAAGTAAGCATTACAAATGCAAATTTTATTGCCTGAAACTGTACATTTATTTAATAACGTTTTCAGGTCTTGTCTCTTTTATATTCCAAGGAAAAACAATTCATGCAAATTGCAGTTTGTTGCGTGAAAATTCTTAATGAAATTTCACCTGAAACCTGTAAGCAATATTTCTTGAATGAGTTGATGGGTCCTTTAAAAAAGGCGAGCCCAGAGACTGTTGTCACATCGGCTATAACTGCTTTACATAATTGCATTGGAATACCTTGTTCAGACCACTGGTCCTTAAAGCCAGAACTGTTTTCAGAAATCCACGCCACTCTGTTTCGTCTCTACTGTGACACGTTAAATAGTGCGACTTTTATTAAAAATGAATTGAGTGATATTGTGTGGTCTACAATTGCACAATGTGATTTTGAACGGATGTTTAATATATTTGTGTTTGAACCTGCTGACATCACTTTCAATTATGGAGACGAAGGTGGGATTGTTATTAAAGAAGGAAAACTTGATGCATTTTGGGAAGACACTTCTGATAAATTACTGCAATTAGTATTGTCAAAAGAGGATTCTAATGTTTTAATAAGATTTTTTAATGTTTTATTAACCACTGTGATAGACGGTACGATAGAAAAAAAATTAGTATGTGCAAAACTTTTAGCAGAAGTTTGTGCTGAATCTGTTATCCAGGATGTTATTAATAAAGACCCGTCTGGAATTGTTGACTTTATTAAAAGTCTACTGAATAGTGATTGTAACGATGAAATATCTTGTCTTGGGCTGATGGTTCTTGGAGTTATTCTTGGTAATCATTCGAACAATAACACTCGTGACTGGAATAAACTGAAGGACCTCGTCGACCCATTAAAGACGTTTATGCTTAAATGTAAAAACCGGGAAGTTAGGAATTTGGCAGACGAGTTGTACTGTTCGATTATGACTCATGGAGCTACAACAAAAGAAAAGCCAACACAGAAAAATAATACTAGAAATTCCAGTTTTGGAGAAGCTATTGATGAGGCTACCGACGCTTTGATGCCAGTGAGAGCACACGGGATCAGACAATTGGGTAGACTCATCCTTGCAAACGACAGCCAAGCGGTTGCAAAAAAAGAGATGATCCTTTGCATTTTCAAGGTATAGACCACAAATATGTACATCTTACTTAACAACTACATATATTTATTTTATTTTAAGGTTGGTTATTTATTTTATAGGAAAATTTAAAAGAAGAAGATTCTTATGTTTACTTAGCAGCTGTCGAAGGTCTTGCTGCTATGGCTACTGCTTTTCCTGATGAAGTTCTTACTACTTTATGTGAGCAGTATACTTTTTGCAAAGATCCTGAAATTAGATTGAAAGTTGGTGAAATTCTTGTTAAAGTCATAAGGCTATTAAGTAAGTTTTAAGTTATAATTTTATTTCATTTCTATACCTTGCAAATCTTTTACTTCAGATGAAATGGCGATAATTTATAAACATGAACTTGTTAATGCTTTTCTTGACGGTTGTCGAGATAATGACCATCTTGTTAGAGCTTCTAGCCTATCAAATCTCGGTGAACTTTGCAAAATACTTTCTTATAGGATACACACTTATCTTACTGAGGTAAGAAGGTATTGTTTAATTTTTTATGTATTTATCTTTTTATATATATTTTTTGATTTAGATATTTTATTGTATCGAATGTATTTTTGATACTGATAAATTCATGGAACCAAGAAGGGCTGCAGTGATGGTGCTTACTCAGCTGTTGAAAGGATTAGGACCAGATTCTCTTACTGTAAGACTCGAATACATTTTTTTTTTTGTACAAGCTTGTTTAAATATTCTTGTATTTTCAGGTTTTAGAAAATATTTTACTAGAGCTTTATAGGAAACTAAAGTTCATCTACAATAATGACAAGGATGACATAACTAAACTTCACGCCCAGTTAGCTTTGGAAGAGATCAACGCTTGTACATTTTCATTTTTCAGACAACCTTTAGAGCTCAAAAAAAGAATATTTGTTCTCGATCCACCAACTTAAGTGTGTGAATTTGTTTTAAATAGACTCACCGGCAAAATATTCAGCCCACTTAAGAAAATATTCAATTTTGAATTCTTTTGGACATTTTCATGTTTCTTCCTCTTGTCTCTATAAGAGATCTTGTTTGAAGTTTTATATTCTTCATATAAAAACTTTGGTTTCATGAATAGATTGTCTAAAGAATGGGCTGATAGTTAAAAAAATTTTTTTTTCAAGTTTCACATCACTGTGAAGATAAAGATATATGTTAAGTTTAATAAAGTGAATAAACATAGGGCAACATTTGAGGCATAAATCACAATTAAAGAAAAACGAAAGAAACTAAATGGGCTACTTAATTTGCTTCAAATAGATTGGTGTATTGTGCCAAATTAAAACAATATAATGACAAATTCACAAAGAATATAAAGATATAAATTATTCACAATAATGGTGGAATTTTTTATCTGAGTGTATATCCATGCCCACTAAAGACTGAATCAACTGAGAAAATTGAAAAAAAGAACTACTTATATATATATTAAAGACTGCACAATATAGAGTTACAGACAGTATCACTTATGAAAAATAAAAAATCACTGTTCTTCTGCACCTGAAAATTCTGGCTTACAAAGACCCTTCTCTTTCACTTAGATATATAACAATATTTTGGCTGACTACCTGTTTTAACATTTCTACTTCTCCACCCGGACATACAGATACTCATTGCAGAGGTTTTACTGAAATCAAATTTCATCCTTCATTAATTAAACATACTAAAAAAGTTAAGTTTTGAAGGAAATGAACTAATTATGATCAATGAACTATAGAAATTTACAAAAAAAAAGCTCTGGTTAGCTTAAGTGGTTAGAGCAGTGGCGTATTGAGCTGAAGGTCATGGGTTCAAATCCCGCTTGTGACACTGACTTTTTCATCTTAACCAAAACCTTAGATAAAAAGTATAATTAATTGAAATAATTAATAGGCCAATTATGACTTTTAAACATATATGGACTTCCCATTTCTGTAATTAAAATGACCCCAAAACACATCAAGCCTACCCAATAATCTACAGTCCTGTCTGTTTCCTTCCTACCCTAGACAAAATCCTTGAAAAGCTCCTTTTCAAAAGATCGATATCAATAGCTTGAAAATGATATCCACCAGTTTAGATTCTGCCCATTCCACACCATCGCATTGCAGACATTCTCTCTTGTGTAGAAACATATTGTTCAGGTTGTGTTAGATCAGTTATTGCACCCTGGTTTGCTGTAGAAGTTCCTTTCACAATCCTTTTTTAAAAAAGATAGTTCCTACTCAAAATAAGTACTTATTGTGAATTAAGTATTTATTGAAAACTGCATTCACTCCATCATTCACCATTTCTGTTCCTTTCACATACTTTTTATTTAAACACTGTCTGACAGGCTGGTACTGATTCATATATCAGGTGACTAACCTTTTCTTCTTGTATTCCTATTAACAATTAGGAGCCTTAATTGGTTGTAATATGAAAAGGTGACCCACAAAACATGCTACCAAAAATACTGTACATTTCAAAGAGTTTAACAGATATTCTACCAAAAAATTAAAAAAAAAGTGAATAATCCACAGGACCTGAGGTTAAAAGATAGCAATATTCTGATGACTACAAATGCTTTACTAAACTGAAGAAATGGATCCATGATGACCTTACCTTATGTTTGACTAAGAAACTCAGATCCGTGTTTGGCATGGTAAATATGTTAAAGTAGGTGCCTACCAGGGCAGCATTTTAAGGCCATCCTATTCATAACACACTCGGCTGACATTTCTATTCTCTCTAAAAAGATTATATGCACTTTTGATTTCAAGTCGTCTAACCATTGCTATTCATAAATATACAACTTCATTTAAGTCAACAATCTGTCTCACAAATGGAGAATAAATATTAACAAAACTAAACACCACCTTTTCTCTCCGAAAATTCTCTTCTCCTACTGTTATTGAAGTTTAGATGGAAAACTCATTACTCCATGCTCTATCTAGGTTGATACATCGACAAAAGACTAACAGGAATCCCCATATACGACCATAAAGTCGGAAACTAGCTGGTGCTGTTAATTACTCTTAACATTTACAGATTGACATGTATATGATTTTATTACAAGTACATGTTCATCTTAAGTAAAGTAAGCTGTTTAATAATTAATTGTAAAAAAGAAAGAAAACAATTTAAATTGTTTTTATATGTAATAAAGTATATTTATAAAACAAGACGTTTTGCCATTATTTAATTAATTTATAAACATGTCTAGTTTTTTCAGGTATGTCAAAACTAATAAAAATTACACAACAAAATTCTTAAAATCTGGTATTCCTTAGATCAATTGAGTAAACTAAACATATATATGCACACAATAAAAATAAAATAAATATATACAAAAATATTGGTACACTATTCATAATGGCAGCTGTACAGTTTAAGATTGTAAGTAAATTAATAATGTAGAAAGTTTATTGTACAAAAGGGCAATTAATAGAATATTTTTATTATGAGGAACATCCTTAACTAGAATTAACAATAAAAACTGATTTTTTGAGTTACACATGCAAAAAAAAAGTTATTAATACTAGCTAAAAATCTTTTTAACAAATTACATTCTCTAAGATACATCAGATGCTTAGAATGTTCGATATCAAAGCTTGGCGCTTTGAAAATTGTTTGACTAGGCAGTAATACTAAAAACAGATAACTAACAATTTGAACTTTTCTTTACGCTTAACATCAAATAATTTGTAATGCAAAATGAATCTGGATGAGGAAACTTATTCAATTTTTCCCTTTTCCTGGGTTTTCTTGTGTTTTGTAGGCATCGCCTTGCACTCTTTGTACAGATTGTTCAAATCGAACGCCGCTTTGATATTATCCTGGAAATTTAAAAAAATAAAAATCAAAGAAATGAATATGTATTAATTAATTTAAAATCAGCTACCTCGGTGAAGAAGAATTTTTTCAGTTTTCCGCTCCGATCGACCATCGGCTGGCGCAAGCATTCTTTTCCTTCTTTGAACAAAATTATAGTCGGAAGCTGCTTGCTGACTGATGAATCGTTGACATGATGCTTGACTCCCGCCTCCGGGTACCGCCCAACATCGATTTTACCAAATTTTAAAGTTTCAAGATCATAACTAGAATAAAAAAAAAACAATTACACGCTAAAAAGTATTAGTCTTTTTTTTAATGATTTACTCATTTGAAAGTTGTGCAAAAACAGGTGCGAGATTGACACAGGCTGGATTCCAAGCGGTATAAAACGCGACCAGCCATACAACTCGTTTGTCCTTGTTGAGCTCGTCTTCCAAACCTTGGGCTGTGCGGAAATAGGTAACTCTGTCGGGACCAGAATAAGTTGGTTCAGGTACTAAAAGGCCAACCACTGTTTCCAAGAAAAAATACATAATAAAATAAATTTCATCGTAATATGTTTTATGAGATTTAATGATTATTTGGAGATCATGAGATGCGGTCTGGTGTGACGTAGGTTTAGAAAAACATTTTCTTTATCGTGCCAACGTTTCTATTTTTATTGAGATCATCTTCAGGGCCTGGGATTTATAAACATTTTTTAAATTATACAATAATTTTGTTTGTAAATCCCAGGCTCTGAAGATGATTTCAATCAAGACATTGGTACGATAAAGAAAATGTTTTTCTAAACCTATGTCACACCAGACCGCATCTCACGATCTTCAAATAATCATTGATTAACAGTCACTAAATACCACACATATGAGATTTAAATAGAAAACTTACAAACAAAAAGGACTGTGTAAATAAGGCCCATTCTAATATCAGAATAAAACCAGAGAATGACATTGGCTACTTTTGTATAGACAAAGCTAGATGTCAAGTAGTTGATCATAGTTACACTCCCTGCCTTTCTCGTCCTGATCATGACTACGATCACCAGGAAAAAAAGGATTTCAGTCTCTCTCTGCAAAGAAAACTCATTAGACAAAGAATGTCAAAGACTACAAAATTAATCTATAAGGAACTTACAGAATCTAGCTCACAAAGGGGATTTGAATTTGGAAATAAAAACGCACAAACACCAGGTGTCTTCTTGGCCAGTACATATCCAAGAGACATTAAAATATTGATTATATAGTAAGGTTTTAAAAGCAGTACAAAATCCCTTTTCAGTCCCATTGTTTTGTGCGATAAGAAGTAGTTTCTTTAACCGAAAAATATATCAGTAATTAATAATAAATACAACCAGTTATAAACTGAAACATGGTTTGCTACCGTGCTGGATTTGAGTAACCTACTTTTGATAGAATAGTTTGTGTAAAACTCTGGTGAAAGTGACCAGAATTATTGAAGGGTGGGAAACTTAAAAGTTTCACCCCTATCAAAAATCATTAGCTACAAATCTAATAATACAAATCCATTATGTCTTCTAATATTACAATACAAAACAATGAAACTTAAATGAAAACAGACAATGTAATTCAGTTTAATATTTAAGTAATGAGTCAAATTTGTTCATTTATGCAGTAATAACTTTGAACCAATTGGAGAGGGCCAAACACAGAGGAGTGGTAGGACTACTAACAGGTCACTGGCATCTGAGAAAACATGGGCATATACAACGTTGATCCCATTTGCAGATTATGTAATGAGGAGGAGGAAACAGCTATCAATATCATCTTTGAATGCGAAGCAACAGCTCAATGGAGATTTAACCTAACGTACGGAAAACACTTAGGGAATCAAATTGCAGCAGCAACAGTCAATGACCTGATACTTCTAAGAAGTAGGATTGAGTCTATTGCACTGAACTAAGGTACTAGGAAGGTACAATAAGCCAAAAGGCTGCTGTGCCTGGGGAACACAAACCCTGCCTCCCAGTATCCTTTCTACCATACCATACCAATAACTTTGAAGATTAGATGTATATTGATAGAAAAAATGTCGTTTTATATTAAAAATTAGGTGGAAGAAATATACATACAGTCAACTCTTTATAGTTTGAAACCCAAAGGGGCCACAAAATAATTACAATGATCAAGATGTTTGAATTATCAACAGGTAAGAAAAAACTTGTTCAGTTGTTATACATTTTTTCAAGTCATTACTTAAATTATACCAATTTAAAGCAGTAAAAATAATGAAAAAGCAGAAATAGATTGGCTGTAAAATTGAATAATATTTGGCATTATTAAAAAAATCGTGACGTGGTTTTTGTTTCAATGTGGCCTGGTGTCCTTTGTTTAAATGATTTTCCGAAGTGACTAGTGCTGAGAACACATTGACTAAACACTGACTGCATACTAGAGAAAATCTGAATAAACTTAGGCCGTAAGGAAGTAAACAATATGGGAAAATTTAGAAGAAAAAAATGCAAATTATAAAGCATGGAAGTGGCTCCATTTCGAATAAATGCATGCTTTTCTCTCCCTGTTATGAAAAATATATCATATTACTGAGTGTATCAAAATGCACAGAATTTTTTCATTTTATTGAAGTGACCTGCTGAGGAGTTTGATTTATTAAGTTTAAATTTTAAAATTTAAAATTTGAAATATCAAGTTTCAGATTAACAAAAATCTACTGACATATATACTTTATATACTGTATTTATATAAGCTCAAATCTGCACACATGCCTATCAGTTCTCAGAGTCTGCCAGCAATTCTAGCATTTGTGAAATTAATAATTAAACTTCTGGCAGGTCTCAAGAATCACCCACCCTGTCAGACCTCGGTCTTATCCTTCAGCCATTTCTCCCCCAATACAAACATTTCCTAAATTCATTCACACTCTCCCTCCCTCTTACATTCTTACTTAAGTGGAAAAAGGTCTTCGGTGAGGTCACAATGAAACGACAATTCTTTTGGTTTTTGCCAAGCTTTTGACAATTATATTGCCATTATCAAGGCCTGTTTATTATGGGAAAACATAGCAGTTAGAAATATTGTACAATTTAGAAACAAATTGTTGCGACCTCACTAAGATCCTTTTTCACGTAGTTTAGCAGCAGGTCGATCCATCATCTCATCTTTACTTTCTTATTTGCATACTATTCACTCCATTAGGGTAGTGGATTACTTGACATTCCTTCATTACTTTTTACACCTACTATATTACTAAACTAATTGAGTGAATTGACAAATTCTGTCATCAGCCCTCTCACACTACAATTCACACCAATAAATCATTCACTCTCAATAAAACTATCATCACTATATACAATAAAACAATCCTGTTTCTGCCAAGAATCAGAACAAGGGACCCAGATACTTGCTGCCATGCTCAAGCACAATTCTCATATTGGGTGGCATTCCTACACACTCTTTATATGGAGCCAAGGAATTTTGCCCTTCAATTAGGTGGGACACATCGAGCAACATTGTGTCAACCTCTAATAAAATATCTTAATTATGGATGTATTTTTTTAGATTTAACTTTTTTTTCAATTGCCAGAATTGCACAGAATGATTATTTATGATGATCATATCATTTTAGTATTTATAGTTTGATAGTTACCGATCATTTTAGTCTGCTTAGCCTCACTGATTTTTGTCAGTCAGACGTGTTTTGGCTTTGTTTGACTATCAAAGTATAGGTTTGTAACCCCGCAGACCACCTGAGAAAATCTTACAGTTTGACTTCATTATGCCTAAATATGCGCAAATGACTAACTTAGCTGAACTTTCACACACTGAATATTGTGAAATGTGGAAACTTGTGATATTTTTATAATTACCATAAGCAAAAGAACAGTGGAACTTCTTCTGGAAAAAAAAGAAGATAAAAAAACCGGTAGACATATGTGCAGAAAACATCTCACACTGATTATAACCAATGGCTGGTGATTAGTAATCATGATAGATATTATGATACAAATACTTTTTCTGATTTTTTTGGTCAGAAGTTGGTAGTTCCAGTTTCATAAGGTATATATATTATATATAATTTGCACATTTTTCAATCCAAAAAAAACTTTTAGCAATAAACTTTCTTCAATGTTATGCATGTATGCTGCATTTAATTATTTATCACCTGAATATTCATTTCAACAAGAGATCTATGTTCAACACCTTTCTTATAAGCTTAAAGCTTCAGTGAATGTTAGGGTAGATGTCAACTTCACATTCACTGAAGCTCTATTATAAAATGTTTAATCATCACAGAACAATATTTACCAATGTAATGTTTCATTTAGGTTTTAACATTAAAAGGAAATTTTATATTTCTCAGCTTTTACCATTACCATGTGGGCATTCCTGTTTGCTATGTATAAGAGCCAAGGAATGGCATTTTGGATTATATTAATAATAAAGTAAAGATTAATGCTGTATTCACATTCAAGCACAGAATTATGTGGCCTCATTCATAACATTTATAAAGCCAGAAAATTAGAAATATTATAATTATTATTCAACTATATTTCATCTTTCCTACTAATATACCATATATTTTACGATTGGAATTGTTTTTAATGGTGTGTATTTTGTAGATTCGATCTTTTTAAATTAAATTGAGGAAAGGTTCAGTAAGATCATTATTTTAATAAAAAAATATTGGAATCGTACCTAGAAGTAATATAACAAGGAGGGCTTCTTCAAGTTTTCAACTCTGAGCAGGTTCTCCATGGCCCCGGGCCATGTTTAAGGATTATTAGGGCCGGGGGAGAATCATTTTCGAGCTTTGAAAAAATAAAGGTCAGCAGGAGAGTTTGCTAATTGAATGGAGTGGATCTGGACGGGGGCACCTGTGCAACCGAGGGACTTGATGGCCGTCAAGTGCCTCGTTACCGATCGTGAGAGTTCCAGGAGGGGAAGAAAACACGGCAATGTACGGCCCAAGTGTAGTTGCACTCATAACGGGAGACTGGTCTTGGAAACAATGGCACCCCCAATAAGTCAGCCCACTGGCTCTTTATACCAACAATTACTCAGGTCACTGGACAATGACCCTCGTCAATTCAGACAATAAGAACGTCTAACGACTGAATTCTCGATTTCTAGAGTGATAATTTAGAACTTACCTTATTATTTATATTATTTTAAACATTATTAATGAAAATACGGACGGTTCATTAAAAAAAAGTAAGGGCGTCGGTGGACGCAAAGCCACAAAGGTAGGCGTTGACACGGCGGTCATCACTGTAAGGCGGCCCTGCATTCGAACCCGACATACAAATAGGCTTTTATTTTCAAAAACACTCAGACCGACTTTTATTGAAAAAAATAAATAAATAAAAAAGTAAAAAATTCTGAGAGTTCTGTACAGTAGCATCACGCAACAAACATATATTGTTAAGGATTATAACTTTAATTAATATATGTACCTTTCCTTAAAGTTGTTTTTAACTTATTTATCACGGTCTGTGAAAAGATGAAATTTTTTAAAATTATTTATTAGAAAGGGATCTCACATCATGTTCTTTTACGATTTAACTGTAGGCGATTGGGAAAAAGTTTTTAGGTTGTTTTTACATATGCACTGTGTTATGAGATGAGGAAGAAAAACTAAAACTTTTGAACTGTTGAAATAATTATTAGTTTTTTCATATTTTACTTTGAAACTGTAAAAACTTAAATATCCAAGAAAGAAAACAACATATCCAAAACATCTAAATAAATTCACTCCATTGAAACAATCGAGAAAACCATCAAGACATACGCATTTTTAATGGTTTTGTAAAATAAATAATAAAACCAGTTGAAATTGTAAATAATAATAAACATATAATATGGATGTTAATGTTGGGCGATTAATAATGCTATTTAATACGGAAAAAGATAATTAATTTGTATAATGAATTTTTTTCTTAACGAATGTATAATAGAGGTAAGACGAGTAAATTCGATTTTAAAATATATTGTTAATTTTTTTGTAATTGCCCGTGAAGGTTGTTAAATCTAAAGGATATATGAATCAAAATTTTGGGTGAATATTTAAACAGGGAGAAATAGTAAAGGAAAGAAAGAGGGAGCACGAATGAAGATCGTTCTAATTAAAAAGTCTCCCAAATTTAGGTCGCGTACGACAAAATATAGAGATAATAGAGAAAAGGAAAGAAAGTGCGAGAGAGAGAGAGAGAGAGAGAGAGAGAGAGAGAGTGTTTATTTTTAACGAGAGTTCGCAACGGCAAAGGTCATAGCTCTTAGTGAAGCTTTAGAGCTTTAGTGAAGATATACTTCATTCAACTTATTAAATTCACTAGTTTTCGTGGTCCGCTTGACTAAATAATATCTTTCAATTAATAAATATGTATTTAAGGTATTGGTTGAGATAAAAAAAGTCGCGATAGCTCAAGTGGTAG